ATTATATTTTAATATCCCCCCCCCCTGAAATATCTATAAAAAAATTAAAATCTTTAACCTTTAATTGAAAAAAAAAATTACTTGAAACGCAAAAATTTAGGCACTTAACTTCTTGCCTCTTCTTTTAAACAATCACTTTTTTACAATAGAAAAAATTAGAGCTACCGTATTTGTCCAATACAAATTAAATTATATGTATCGATATTATTTCCAGAGAATTTTCCCTCTAACAAAACTCCAAGACTGCATGTTTCCCAAATCCTTGTTGAGCACCGTCTGCTGACGGACCATCTCATTTAAATAAAAAGTATAAAACCTCCTCCTTAAAAAATTCCTTTTTAACGATCTTTTTCCCGCCTCGCAACAAATTGTCTTGAATTCAAGCACTCCTTCTTGCCTAAAAAATTTCTGAGCAGCTTAACGGTGCAAAACTTTTTGATGAATCTGCTGCTAAGAGAAAAAGTTTGCGTCCGTAACTTTCGGCACCCTCCGTCTTTTCCCACCTGTTCCTCGATGACGCAAGGACGCTGCTGCCTTTCCGGCGGCAAGAATCGCGGGCGTCCGGCACGCAAGCCAATTGTTTGCGTGTTCATTAACACGTGATTCTGCTCCGTTGTTTGCCGAGCGCTTTCGCGAAAGTGCGTTGTTTGCGCGCCCTGTTTGAATAATAGATGCGTTTGCAAGAACTTGCGTGGGCAGCTCGCAGGTGGGAAGAAAAAATGTGTGTGTGTGCATTCGACGTTTTGTTTTGCCAATTACCGCCGGAAGTGCGTCAGAAGGGCTCGGGAAATGATCTCGACGCCGCGCGTTTCCTTCCAATTGTTTCTCGGGGCGCCGTTGTTATAAGACATTGGATTTCCTCCTAACAGAAAGCTGTGATCTTTTCTTGTATTAAAACGCCCTGGGCACTTATTTTGCGGAAAAGGCACGTCATTCGTTTTGCAGCAAACTTTGAAGGATTACAAACTTTCTGGGCCGGGATGTTATCATTAACAAATATAAATGCAGAGCTTTTGAGTATTTCCGACTCTCTTCCAAGCCTCATGAGATTTGCATAATTTAATTGATTACATTTGTTTGAAACTGTTATGGAGAGAGTTGGTTTGGAAATTCCAATAACCTATCCTCCTGGGAAAATGAATATTTAATCCTTTGAAGATATGAAACATAAAATCATTAAGTTATCTCAAACTTCATAATACAAACGTTTTTTTTTACCACTTAACTTATTTACGTTCGATTTGGAGTGAAGCACTAATTATGAATATTGTCCATATCTTATAATCGGAGCCTGACTTTGGATTTATATAAATCATGAAAATGCCAAATAATTTTTTGTTGCCTTTTTTACTATTTTTCAATTTCAATTCATGTAGCATGAAAGATGAAAAATATTAGCAGGAAAAATGAAATTGTATTTGTATCCAATAATGTATTCTTTCTATCTCTACCATGGAAATTTTCTTATATTCTTTGATATGCATAGCAAGAGAGCAGTTGCAAAATAGAAGTAATCTCATATTACACACATTGTTTGTGATACTTTTGTATATTTGCATTTAGGTCACGATGTTGACCATAACTGACTGAGAAAGAGCTCGACTTCCAGCAAAATAAAAAAAAATAAATGTGGAGCAGAAATGTTTTTGAATAGATCATCTGCAAGGATGCACGGGCGACCGTCGGCAGAAGAAAAGGATCTCGTCATCTCGCTCGGCGGTCCGCGCACTCTAAGATTGAACACCAAGCTTGGATAATTCTGTTTGGTGTTCTACCTTACAGTGAGTGGCCTGTCGAGGAGGCAGCGCAGTCCCTTCCAGAGATAAACATTCAGTCTCGAGTAAGAAATGGAATAAAATAACACACAGCGAGAGGTGAAGAGGCAATTAGGCGGCTGAAGAGCGACCTGTGCTCTCTTTAATTAGCTCTCCCAATTATCCCGTTATATCCGCCTAATTTGATCTGCAAGAGAGTGCAAGGAGGTGTGAAGGTGAATAAATTTTCCGCCCATTTGCATTGTAATTCTCTCTCTCTCTTTCTCTCTCTTGCAGCGAAAAGGGGGTTCAGGGAGTATGCGAGAGGTATGGCTGGTTGGTTAGTTTGTTCGAGTGGCAGTGCCGCCGCAAACGAACGTGAACACCACCACCCAACTCGCTTTTCCAGCCGGCGGCTTGCCAATTTTCGAGTCGGTCGCTGAAGTTGCGATGCCTCTATATGAAGTTTGAATTGCCGTTTTCCTTGAGCGAATCTAAGCCCATGATCTGTATCACTACAAATGTGTTGCAATTGATGTTTGTTATGCCGTGGGCAAGTTTCTGAATTACGCTCAAACTGCAACTTGTGAAGACTTCAATGTTACGCATTGCTTCATCTGAATCAAATAGACCAATTAATGAAAATAATAATCTGCATTAATAAGGATTGTTTTCTGCTCCAGTATGAATAATTTTGAAGGATTGCTGTGCAATTATAGATGTTTTAATTTGAAGCGTAAATTTAATTTTATAGTTCTTGATTTTTGTATATTTTTGAAAGCTATGCTATAATGTCCTCCAAAATCATTTGAATCCATATAATTTGATAATATCGGCAACTCCCTTTTTTTTTGTTTTTTTCCAGCTCAACTACAATTGAATTAAACTGTTTGATAGCTGATATTGCGATGTTGTTTCAACAAAAAATATCGTTGCAAAGTGTTTCAGTCATGAGTATCTTCTATCAGTAAAATAAATCATGCTGAATCTGGTTACAGGTTCAAAATTGCGTAGGCATTTCGAATTAGTTACTACAGACCATATATTGTACTTTTAAATTTCACCCGTTTTAAATGTTAAGTACCGCTCAACCATCGTCAATACAGCGGTGCTGAAAGGAATATTTCAATTTTCGAGTAACAGAAAAATGGCTCCTTGACCTTTAAAATCACAAAATAGTTAAATAAGTGCCGCCAACAAAAGGGGAACCGGCATCTCCGATTTGCTGGTTCTCCTAATTTCGCAATCTTTGTATATTTTTGTAATAAAATATTAAATATAGAACAGTTTCCAATAGCTATTTAAAGGTTCTTTTTATGTCAAAATGTAAAGAAATGTATTATTTCCTTTTGAAAACGTCGAATTTAATACTCTTCATTGTAAACAATTCCCAAGGACATTTTTAATAGAATTTCATTTTACAGACATTTGATATTAATCAAGAGCGGCAAACGCAATTTCAATGATAAATGTAGTTTCACCGCGTCGCGTCAAACAAAATAAATTATAAAAATATCACGTCTCTTTGTGAAGCCAGTTGCCATTGTTCATACGTCGGCGCGACGAGTTCTCCCTGGCATCTGTGGAAAGTTGAGCCTTTTGCAATTTCCTGTTTGATGAAACGGCAGAGGCGGCTGTGATGCCAATAGAATTGCGCACGTGCAATTCTGTTAAGATTCAGGGTTGGCGGGAGGATCTAATGTAATGAACAGAGTTTGGTTATTTTACAAATAACCATTCTCGAGGACTTTGCTGACGGTGGCTAAAAAACAAGCGGGTTTGTTTGGTTCTGCAATTAAGTTTGCATTGTTAGCGGGGCATTTTGCCGCTTAATTCCAACTGCTTTTGACGTTTCGTCTGTGCGGAAAGGCGCGGGTGTGTGCTTGTTAAAAGGAGGCGCGCTCATTAGTGCTGAAAGTGAGTTATTGAACGGCACCTGCTGCCCTCCTCGGCGAAAGCCGTCCGCGCGCAATTCAAGCGACGGCTTTTGTGTAGCCCAATCGCGCGCCTTTTCGCTTCCCTGTTTGCCCAGATAATGGTCAGCATCGCGCCGAAAAGACTCCGACTGAGATTAAAATTTCATGCGCACGCCTCCATTATGGTTATTAAGTCTTTGAAAAGAAGTGACGTTCGAAAGCAGAGACTTTTGCGTTTGGGTACTTTTGCGCGCCGCACTCGTCTCGTGTTGAGTGCTAAATTTGGAAACGTCAAAGCGTGCTTTCATTCTTCACGCCAACAAATTGCACCGTCACTCTTTTCTCGCTAAAAAAGACAGGTTTTTGAGCCATAGCAAATAGCGAGAGATGGGCTTGGATGCCTTGGTTGAAATACGATTAATTTTAGTATTTATTTTAAAATATAAACTAATAATAATTTTAAATTTATAATAATTTTAACTGCTTTTTTTATTTTTTATTAAAATAATAAGAAATAAAAGTTTTAAATGATATATTATAATTGAATATTTCATTGCTCAAATATTACCTAGATTTTTTTCTAAACTTTTATATATTAACAGCAAATTTAATTTCATTTTAAATTTAAATCACAAAATAAAAAATATATTGTTTCATGTTTCTACATTTTTAGCTCATAACATTGAAATCTATGTTTAATTTTGCTACAATGTTTCAGTACAGTGTGTCTTTTCTGTAAAAAATAACATATTATAATTGAAAATTGAAATAATGAAATCATCAAAAATATTGAATTGTTTTTATTACACCAGTAGTAGTTTTGTCAAAACGCCATTTAAAATGTCCCATAAAGCACAAGGAAATATTATTAAAATTAATAAACCAATAAAACTAATAAATTAATAATATCAATATCTAATATAACATGATGAAAATTTCTACAAAAATTAGTGTGAAAAATTTACAAAGTTTTGATTAAGAGCAATAATAAATAGGTTTAATGAAGAAGCTACATTACCCGAGTCTTACAAGGAAACAGTAAAAGCTAGGCTAGACAAAATAATAGAAATAATAATATTAGAAGAATAAATAATAATAGTAATAACGATAAGCCAAAAGTAAATAATAATGAATATTCCTTAATATGCATGAATTTCAAGATGGTTTTTGCTTTTTTCTGTTATTGTATTGTGTTGCTTTTCTCTCTCTTGTAATCGATCAAATTTTTATTATTGCATTTGGATAATTTATCAGGGCAGAGCATACTTGGTGATACGTTTTAATAACATTATTTGAAGCTATTAACATTTTTTTAAAATTTTGCTTACAGATGAGTTCTGCGAAGAATTCCCTCACAACCTCATTCCGACACCCGGTTACTGGATCGAATGCTCGCGGCAAAAGATCACGTCCGACACCATTTGGGACGAGAGCGAGTCCGAGCACGAAATCCACGAAGAGGAGGAGGACGAGGAGGGAAGCCGGGCGCGCCAGCGTCCCATGGACAGCGGCCTGGGACATTCGGAGGGCGGCGAGAGTTCCAAGCGGCGGGACAGCGCCGACACGTGCGGCGACAAGGGTTTGGAAGCCGAAGATTCGGCGGTCGTCGACCTGGACGAGGAATCGCCGCACAAGAAGACGGCCATCGAGGACCAGTGGGAGAAAAACCAGTGCTTCGAATTGACTTCGGTTGAGCAGGAGACGTACGAAAAGTACTTCTACGGATCCGAGCATTGGAACTATTTCACCAACGACGAGGACCTGGGACCAGTCATCCTCAGCATCAAACAGGAGACTCTCAATGGAAGGGACCAATTTAGGTGAGTACATTTTTTGCATTCATTTATTTAATTCCTTACTAAAAAAAAAAACAAGCAACAAACTTTCAAACCAATCGATAAAACTTGAGGTGGGTTTTAATTTGTATGGAAAAATGTAACCGGGTTTAACCTTGTTATTTAAGATGAAAAAAAATGGCTGTCGACCCAAAATAATAATTAATGATAAAAAAAACTAGGTTTTGAATGCACCGCAGGTCGTCTTTATCATTTGTTTTTTGCTACAAGTTTATGCAAATTGTTTTATTTTTTTTTTATTACAAATTTCAATTTGTTTTTATTGAAAAAGGTTTGGGACTATAAAAAAGTTTTAAGTGCACATCTAATCAAGTTAAAATATTTATTGCAATTTTTTATGTAAATATGAACATTATTTTTTTTTAAATATAAAATAAATAGTTTTACTTTTAAATTATTTGATTATTATTTAAATATTAATTATATTTTTTTATTAAAAAAAATTATATTTTGATCTAATTCTTATTATTAAACATTTCTTATTGTATATTCTTCATAGAGTAAATATTTTTTTAGTGTCTAGATTATAATTTAATTCTTAAATTCAATCATCTGATGTACTTCATTTATAACTGCAGTAAACGAAAATTCCTTAGTCTTTGCATAGAGCAATTGTATGATTAATTCATTAATAAGTTTTAAGTTAAAAAAAAAATCAGAAATTTATCTTTGTCAATACCCAAAATCAACTACATTTATTTTTACGTTTACTATTTTGTGCCCGTGGTACCCTTAAAGGAGACTATAATTGAATTCGCCGGCCACTCGCAGCGCCAACTCTGTGGAAAAGAAGAGCTCCTGAAGAGTGAAGCGTGTGCTCATAAATTTTCTCTTACGCTCTAGTAAGTAAACCTGCGAGAAGTAGAGCCCGAAAAAGCATCCTTGATCAAAGATCAAAGAAAAGTGGCTGCAAGTCGGCAAAAAGCAGCTCACAGCTATTTAGTCAATTATTTCAGAGTCGACAAAGCCGAAAGCGCGCAGAGCTCAAAGGCACGCGGACAAAAAGCGGCAACGCACTTTCCGACGACAGACCCCGAACACGAAATAAATTCCAGAGCGCGCGCGTCGGGCATAAAGGGTTATATATTGCTCAAGCTTGTCAACTTGTTGATTCGCACTATATGAAAAGACGAATTCCCTGTTTTTGCAGAATTCTGGTGCGAGCCATCAGCTACACGGTGCACGGCCTGATCCCGGCGTCGTGCGTCTTCGCCGACCGCTACAACCGAGAGGAAGTGGTTCGATCGCTCGGCAAGGAGGTCAACCTCAACCCGCCCCTCACCCTAGGACAACTGCCCGACACCCCTGAGGAACTGCTCAAATTAGATCAGGTCAGAAACGAGCACGATTTCTGCGGTTTGAAACAACTTTGCAAAGACGTGACCGAACGCTTAACGATAGGGAGAGGCAACTCTTTTTTGGTGTGAGCGGAATAGACTGTTTGCAGAGACGCCTTTGAAAATTTTCAGTACGTTCTTGCTGTGGCCAAAGCAAAAGCAAGAATTTCTAGATAACTTGTAAAAAATATTCCCATTTTTATAATGAGCTTTCTATAAATAAATGAATTTTCTAATCGTTTTTAATAATCATCTATTTTTAAGCTTTACTTTAATTAAAATTAAACAATTAAAATAATAATATTGAAATTTATTTACAAATAAGTTGGAGAGAGAAAAATCAGGACTTTTAAGAAAATTCGTGTGCATCTTGGGTATCCCAAAAAGGCAAGAGAATTTTGGCCTATTATCCTGGTTGAATTTTGGCACATCAATATTTTATTTATATGAACGTATGCAAATGTTGATGCATGTGTTGCCTTTTTTTTAATAAAAAAATTATTCCCTAAGATATTGGGCAACTTATGATCCAGAACGCCCCAGGTGTAGTAAAAGTTGCAAACCAATTTTCATCAAAATCGGGGTTTCTTATCTCAAAAGCATAGCTTGTAAATTATATTCAATCATAAAAATACTCAAAATTTAATAACTAATTTTAACCAAAAGTTTTAAATTTTTAAATCATCGCTATAATTTTACTCGGGTGTAATCTGCAAACAATCTTCCCAAATTACGCAAATGATCAACTCTCTAAAATACCCTGAACTTCTTACCTTTCCACTCACGTAAATATGTGTTCTATTATTTTGTAGCAATTTGGTTGACGTGTTACTCACGTTTGCTTCAGGTTTGAGTGAAAAAGGATTTTCGATTTACGTATACGCTAACGAGGTGGCAGATCTGCTGCTCGGCGCGAGGATAATTCACCGTGTTCTTGTTAATTTTAACGAGTTTCCACCGTGATTAATTATTGCGAGCAAAACCCCTCGCAGCCCTTCGAAGGTCGTCGATTAATTAATCTTGTTTAAAGTTTCGCGCGTCTATTTACCGTGGCTTATTTCTCCTGCCACCAGATCAATATAAATACATACCACATTTTCCCAGCCGCGTCTTCCCGCGCGGCGATATTTATTTATCATTTTGAGAGGGAGAGCGGATTAACGCGCCCGCGGAATTCGACGCTAATATGGTTCGATTTTCAATCTTCTTCCGCGCCTGTTTCCCGGTACCGTGCTGCCAATAAAAACGGGCCGAATTTCCTGGTGCCATCGTAATTCCGATAATAATGTTACTCTGGCGCACATAATTTCCACGGAAGCACTCCCACGTCACATCAATCTTTTTTGAAGCTCATTCTTCCACGAATCTTGCTGTTTCCCTTTGTTGGATTAAATTCAACGCATATTGTGCGATTTTTATGATATTGTGTCGGTTTATGAGGAAAATCTTTATGTCTTAGAATATGTATGAAAAGTGTGGAAAATATTTTATCCGGTGCCGTTATTTTTGGATAATCAAAAAATTGTATTAAATTTTTTTATTTTTCAAATTGAACTAGATTAATCAAAAATAATTTATAAAATTAGATCAAATTATTTTAATTGAATGTAACATACTAGAAAATTAACTTGAACTTCTTTTTTTTTCAATACTACAAAAAAGTTAAAATCTAAATTCTTATTCAGTTGAATTTTTGCATTTTGTATGTTTTTAGATTTAAATTTTTTAGCTTACTGACAAGGACGCACTTAATTATTTCAAAGTAAACTAACAATATCTGAATTATTGGCCTTGAATAAACTAATTTCCCCCCTGATATTTTGCAACCAGCTTCGTATACAACATTTTAATTGGCATCCGGTGATATTACTCATCGTCGGCATTTTCTCAAACGAGCCGTTTGTGTGTTTACAAACAGTCGTTACGCGAAACGTGGTTGAAACGTTCCGCCAAAGGTTGGGCGAACAAACAAACACAAAAATATGAAGAAATACGAGGCGAGTGGCACAAATAGAGAATATACGCCCCACAGAGTCTTTAGTGGAGCGACGATGGAAAGAGAAGAGACCGTGAGCAAATATTTGCTCAAAAGCGTTCGCTGATTCAATAATATGTATGTAATTCTTTGAAATTCGGAAACACACCGCTTGCGCGCGCGCCACGTTGGATTTATTTTCTTCCTTTAGCGCGTCTCGCAAGCGCAGTCATTTTCGGTATACATTTTTAGTTCATGCGTACACATTTACTTTATCAAGAGAGCTTTAAAAACACTTAAATGTCGCGAGTATAAAACGAGCAGCCGCATTATCATTTGAAAGAGCACATAAAAACGATTTCGCCCGCGCGCTCTCTCTCATTTTTAATTAAAAGTTGGACGGATGGATGGGTTATTTATGCGTTTTATTTCCTCCCGCGCGTCGCCATTCAAATATTTCTCGGGTGGCCGTGGCGTTTTTGATGAAAAGATTTGAGCGTTGAATGCGAAAGAGACGAAATGCGAAGTCCCCCGAGTCGCACCACAAAAGCCGTGCTAGAGTTTGAGCTGTCCTGGGAGTAATTTTCTAATTGCCGCAGTTTTATGTTTTCTTTTTAATAAATTTCTCCCGGAATGCATCATTTCAACAAAAAATCTTCAAGCCTCTTTCCTTCTACAAAGAGGTAGAAATAGACCTCTCTTGAAGTCAATATAGCCTCTTGCTTTTTTGCTTCTTTTTTTTGTCACCAACCTGTGATACAGACGAGAGAAATAACCAAGTTTCCTCTCTTTTTCGTGCTGCCAAAAGGTTTTCATCAAGTCCGAACTGAAAGTGGGTGTCATCTACGTGAAAGAGGGCCAGTACACGGAGGAGGAGATCCTTGATAACAACGACAACACGCCGCTCTTCGAAGAGTTCCTCCAAATCCTTGGCGACAAAATGCGACTGAAAGGTGGGAAAATTTTCGTGCGCCTCGACACGGAAAAGAGATAAATAATATACACGCACCTCTTGTGTCTGATGGCAGGCTTTGACAAGTACAAGGGCGGGCTCGACACGGTCCACGACTTGACTGGTCTCTATTCAGTGTACTCAAACTGGCGAGGCATCGAAATCATGTTCCACGTGTCCACCCTGCTGCCTTATGAAAAACATGACCCACAAAAGGTAAAAAATTCTTTAGTTTAATTCAATGTATACATTATGGACACAAAAATATTTTCTTTTTCTTTGTTAAAATTTGTGTATAATTTGATTTAATATTTATTAAAGTACAAGTAAATTTTAGTAAGTATTTTTAATATGATTATTGTACTTTTTTTTAAATGTTCCATTAAATTAACATGGTTAAAATTCAATCTTTATTTATTTATAATATTGAAATTTTGTTCGAGCTTGACTTGCTTAATTGAATATTTATCTAATGGCATTACATATTAACATATAATGTTTTGCTGTACTTCACCTGCATCTCCTATAGAAACATAAATGATAACTGTAAATTTTGAAATTGAAATTAAAACTGTAACTACTGTAATGCAATATGAAGTGGGTTAAATTTGTGGGTTTTATTTAAAGTAAAATAAAGAGAGATATGATAATGGAGCAAGAGTAATTCAATTAAAGTTAAACAATAATGAAAAGTTTTGAAGTCTTTAAAAGCAATATTTACCACATTACTTTGTAATTATCTTTCAACTATTTAGTTCATGAATCATTCATTATTATCACTTCTTTTTATCCCACAAGGTTGTACCTATTTCATTTTACTCACTATTAACTATCATGCTCAGAATCGGAGTTGTGTTCATTCAAGATTGAGAACAATGAATAGATGCGGATATTTGATTGTTGTGATCTTTCATGAATGGCATTTTCTTGCTACATTAATATCTAGGTTATTGCGTCGCAAAAACACTTCCACGCGTGCTTTCAAGGTTGCAAGTGGCGTAGAAACTCCTGCACAAGTCGAAGTAGGCTCTTTGCCGAGCTTCAGAGACCTGCAGGTTGCCTAAGTTCCTTCTCCGGCGGGGTTATTATGCAACACAAATCACGAACATGACGGAACTTGCAAGCACAAAACTCACTTAACGCGGGTCGTTATGCACTCGAATAGCCAAACAAAGAGGCCACTGGGACGCAGTTAACCCAAGTGACGCCCTCATTGTTTAAAGAAGCAACTGCGTAAAATCTTGCAATGAAATTCAAATCCCAGTCTTTTTTTTAAATAATAATAATAAAATAAAAACAGTTTGTTTGCAAAGCTTTAACTCTGCTTGAATTCCATTATAACTGCAAATTTATGTTCATTTTTATAGCAAATTCATAACGAAATATTTTTTTTTTGGTTAATACTTTCCCCATCAGAAATTGTATTTTTTTTAAATTGTTTTCAGGAAAAATTTTTAATTTATATTTTATTAAACGAAACAGTTGCAACGGAAGCGGCACATCGGCAATGATATCGTGTGCGTGGTGTTTCTGGAGGCAGACAACACCAACTTTTCGCCGGCCTGCATCAAGAGCCACTTCCTGCACACGTTCATCCTGGTGCGGACGAGTCCCCGGATCAAGCGACGCCCGACCAGATACGAGGTGAGAACGCACTCCCCGCTCCCGCCCCCAGGGGCTCATTTGGCCGGGATGAAAATTTAACGCGCGCAACCATTTTGCGGCACGCTGTGTGGCAGGTGTCTGTGGTCACCAGGGACGAAGTCGGCGCCTACAAGCCCTACCTCTGGGAGCAGAGCGTCTTCGACAAGGGGCCCATGTTCCGAGAGTGGCTGCTCACCAAGATTGTCAATGGCGAACGCGCCTCCTACTCGGCACCCAAGTTTGCACGCATGCAGGAACGCACGAGAAGCCAGATGCTTGAGGACATCGTGGCCAACCTGCAAAACCACGCCGAGACCGGTCAAATTCCAAAACCGTACAGGTAAAAGATACAAATTTTTTTTATTCTAAATGAATATAAACAAAAATATCTATTAAAGTTTAAAGTTAAATATTCACGTTTGAAAATTTAAAAAAAAAAAAATCATACTGGCTCGCATTTTAAACATAAATTATAAATATTTTTACTTTCTGTCGTGGATGAATCCTAGACCAACTACAAACAAGAAAGGAAATAATATTTGTTTTTGGATAGGATAACAATAAGAAATGTAATTTTAATATTTATAAATACTTTATTATATTACAATTTTATAAGTACTGTAACATAATATTTTGTAAAACTTGCAAATAAGTGGCTGAAAGTTTTAAAAATAAGATTAACTTCTATTAATATTATAATTTTTGTGTTGTTCAGACGTGGTTCATGGCGGCCAATCGGTCACATGCGACCGTCCAGTCCGCTGTTGGACTCGGTGCGTGACCAGTTCGAGGACTACGACCAGTTGGCCAAAGACTTTACGCGTTTCTTTTTGAACACCGAGCCAAACAACAACGCCATGATGTTTGATGTTTCATTCATGGTCGGCCAAAGCAAGCAGAAGGTGCGGTTCATTGGCGTCAGGGCCATCCTGGGTGTTCGAAGCAGGTGGGACATCAAAATAAAGGAGATTGTTTGTGTGTTAACTCATAAATTTTCGGGGGTCGATAGGGTGTTTCAGGAAATCCTTTATGGAATTTCAACGGGGTTTGGCTCACCGCAGGTGCCGGTGGCCGAAATCCTCGCCAGAGCCGTTCCTTCCCTCCATAGTCCACAGAAGCCCAAGAGTAGCAACTTCCTTCAAGTGCCTGACATAGAAACCCCTAGGTGAGTGGCAAATTTCAATCATTCTTTTTGAAAAATTTAATAATTCATTGAATGGTATTGAAAATTTGGAACAAGAAGCGTACAAATTAGTTAATTAATTTCAAAATCAATTTACACCACTCAAATAAATTTGAAAAATATTGGTTTTTAAAAACCTTTTTAAATTTGATTATAGAAATTTCATTTTGAGGATATTTTGTCAAAATAAATAGTCAGTCTTTTTTTTCCAATAAAAATCAATAGTTTAATTATTTTTCTTGAAAGCGATTTCAATTAAAAATGCTCCCTTCTCATTCAATATTTTCATTGCCAAATGAAAAGTTTCTTTGCCTCTTGTTAGAAAATTAACATATTTTATTCTAGTATTTTATTTGAATTAATGAAGCAAAAAAGAAAAGTATAATTTCGGCTTGTTTTTTAATAAAAGTTGAGGAAACGCCGAGTTGTAATTAATCAAGATGGAATTTTCCTCAACATTGTTTCCCTCTACAAAATGATACAATTTATCATTGTTATAAAAAGAGGTTTTCTTCTTTTGATTGCGTTGCAGGCCAAAAAGTGTGCCAAATTCACCGATGGTAAAGCGTGCCTTCTCGCGGCTGGGGACCCTGACGGCAGGTTGGGGACGCAGCATCCGCAAGCAACACAGCAGCAGTTCCTCCTCCAGCCAGCAGGGCACGTCGGCGAGCGGCGCGGCGGCCAACCTTTCGGTCGAGGACCGCAAGAAGTGGAGTAGCTCGCAGGACTGCTCAAGTGAGTTTTTAAATCCCGCCGCGAATCGATATACGGCTGAGCAGGCAAATGACTCTCTCGGCAAAACGAGTGGCTCGCCGGCAAAGTTCAAATGTCAGAGAGAGAGAAAAACGGTCTCGTCTCTCCAGAGAATGAAAGAAAGAAGGAAATAATAAGAAAGCCAATAACAATAATAACAGACACGCTCCGCATTATACCTGCTCGCCAAGGTCTCCACTCGGTCCTTGGTGGCCTCAGAGTCAGTGTTGCTGCACTCGCATCGTGCTCCCTTTCTTATTGATTGTTATTATTATTTGCTCTTTCCGCGCGTGCAGAATTTCACTCTACGCTGCCCGAGCTTAGCGGATGGCACGATTGATTGTGCGGTTCCGCTCAACGATGGCGCAATCATTTTTCATGCACAAGGAAGGACGCCCAACAAATCCGCCAAAGTGCCTATTGTGATTTGCTTTCATGAGCAAAAACGTTTAGCAATCTAACGACTCAAAATCCTCACATATATTTTTAACGAATTTATTAGAGGCCATGATGATTATATGTATATTTAAATTTATAAAATTAACCAACGAGTTAGAGCGAGGCATACTTTAAAAACTTTAAAGTCGAATTTTAATTTCTTAACCTTACTTGGCTTATTTGTAAATTTTGATTATAAAATTAAATTAAATTTTTTTAGATAGCAATTAAATATTTCAAAATGCGTAATTTTAATGTAAAATTTCTGCATACTAGTATTTAAAATAAAATAAAATTATTTATAAATTTTAATCTCTGATTGAAGATATAGAAAAAAATTGTAAAAATTATTCTAAAATTAAAAAATTTAATTAATAATATAATTTAAAATAATTATATTTGCCAAAATTGTGTAATTTTAGAATGTACAACAAATTGCGAGACTTTTCAACAGCCTCATTATTTGTGCGCCGGAACACGAATGTTTGAAAACGAATAAATCCAGCTCTCCTGCTATTGACGAATTATTCAAATTTCACGCTTAATGGCGTCGAAAATTTGCTCTCGGAGCGCTGACAGCGACATTGTTTAGCTCACAATCAACCGACAAAGTGAAAAGGTTGGGACGCCGAATGGATTATTTGCATAAATGAAACGTGTTATTTGTATAATTGACAAACTGTGAGGCCAAATAAATACGACAAAGGCCTAAATATAATTGGCAATCGACGGGAATTTTCCACACAGGCAAGCGAATGTTTAGCCGTGTGAATGAAAATAATCGGCCGAAACGTTGAGCAGCCATTTCGGAATATGATGCGATCCGCTCGAAATTTTTGTCACGCGAGTTGCCTACCTATTTAGCTTATAATGGTCGACTGAATAAAAGTGGAGCTCGCGGCAGGACAAACCAGCACGCCCTTCTGTCTAGTAAGCGGATTACCATTCATAATAGCCAAGAGAAATAGGCAAACGGCTTTTGTCTCGTTCTCAGAATCACAAGTGGTTTTCTATACACTTTGTGACTGTGATACTCAACAATGGCAACTATACTCGTTTCCTTCAGCTTTCAAACAAATTCCCTTCAATCTGCATAATAATTGGTCACTCCAGAAAGGCCTTGGAAACTATTTCATGTGCTCTTGGTTGAGTTCTTTTGCTAGAATTGCAAATTCATTTTTTTTTTTTTTTTTTTTTACAAAAAAAAAAACACTTGTTTGGAGCTCTTAAACTTCATAATTTATTTTTAACCTGTCAATGTCCATCAAATTTGTTTAAAATTTCAATAAGACAGCGCTTTCATATTTCAAAATTAGCACATTTTATTCAATTTAAATTCTTTGTCGCTTTAAATTTTATACTTTCTTCCAACAAGATTCTCAAGATTCAGATATTAAAATATGTTACTAAATTATATTTGAAGTGAATATAAACAATTAAAGAAATTTTTTGACAGTACAATCAAGTATTTTTAATTAGATTTTTTGCTCAAATGTAGTCAATTTTGTCCATTTTTGTCAATTTTAAAATACATTTTTCCGCATTTAAGTCACGCGAATGGTGTTCATTTGAAGCTTTTTGTCGTTTTCTAGTCATAAAAAATCGTCAATCAACTAAAATTTGCAAGTCTAACTGTAACATGACGTAAACCTGATTGTTCAACCATGTTTTCAGACAAAGACGGCAAGGACCACAGTAAGGGCAGCAAAGACGGTGTCCCTCAAATAGCAGTGCCTCGTCTCTCCGTGTGTGCCGACGCACAAAAAGTCGACCGCGCAAAACTAGCACAAACCGAGGTCAGCAAACCGCAGCGCGCGGCCGCTTTGATGTTTTGCCCATTCCCTCGCTTCGGCTGCTAAAGAGCGTCATTAAAACGAGCACTTTTCTTGCAGTTTTCAGTCATTGAGTTCGACCCCGATACGTTTCGCACCCTTCTGGACTATTTGCACACGGGCTCGTGCCCTCTGACGTGTTCCAACATCCCTGGCCTCATCTGCGCCGCTGAGCACTACGACCTGCCCGAGTTGCTGCAAGCCTGTTTCCACCACGCCAAGCAGTTTTTGCGAATCGAAGTTGTAAGTTCACCGTCATTAAAATTCGTTAACACTCACAAAATGTATTACATAATTCCTTATTAATTGGAAAATTTCCATGCCGTAATTCCACTTGATTAATTCATTTTTAAATATTTCTATCATAGGCTTTGTCATGGAAAAATTTTATTTATTATTATTGCTAAAAAACAATTAATGATAATTTTCTTTTATGATACTTTACTTTTAAATATTTAATTTTTAAAGAAAATAAAAAAATATATTAAAATTTATATAATATAGAATCATTTAATATTTAATAAATAAGTTTTAAAATGAAAAATAAAAAATATTATAAATAAATTAATAACTAATGTAATTACAAAGTTTTGTTAAAGTAATTTAAATTTTCCTCAAATTTATTCTTCATGCGAACACAAAAAATAATGCAAACCAGATTTTATTTATTCTACTCGAGTCATAAAAAAAATTGCGATTATATATAAGCAGTTAAACTTAAATGTTTAAAATAGTACGTTTAAATAGAATAAAAATTGAGTTTTTTTATCATTAACAATTCTATGTATAGGTTTGTACCATGCTTTGCTCGTTGGAGAATTACTACTGGAGGTACACGTCGGCCTCGGAGCTGGTCAACATGATTCTCGCGTTCGTCGAGACAAAAGCTCTTCAGGTGAGCAGCATTGATTTTGTGATTAGCCGCGCGGCCAATTTGCAAGCCGACAATAAATTGCCTGGCTCGTCTTTCAGCTTTTCCAAAGCCCCGACTTCCTCAACCTGTCGGAATCAATGGTGCAAATGATCATGTGCCGCAACCTGGAGGTGCCTGAGGTGCGAAAATTCGAGGCCATGCTGATGTGGGCAAAGCACAGGATCAAAACCAGAACTAGCTCAAAAGTTGACGCCAAACTCGAGTTCAAGTGCACCATGGAACGCCTTGCCAGGGACCTCAAACTGTACCGCATTTCACCACAAGAGTTGATCAAGGTATTAAAATTTTATGAAATGAATTTAAAAAAAAAATTACAATTAATTAAGGCTTTTTTTATTACAAATTGGAATTTTTCTATAAATTAAATAATTATAATTGAATTTCAGATTGTTTTGCCGAGCAAGGCGATTAAGAACGAGCGCATCCTGGAGACGCTCATGTTCCAGGCCAACTCAGGCATGTACCGCATCCAGGAGAGCTACCTCGAGGCGTGCCAGCAACGCCTACAGAAGCAGGACTCGCGCTTCAGCGAGTGGGAATCATTTGACTATGGCTTATGAGTCTGCACAGCCACTATCACGTGTCTAATACTGTTTGTGTGTAACGGATTTTGTGCTGGCGGCTCCTCTTTTGTACTGGGGAGCAATTATATAAGTGAATGTCACAAAAAACACAAACCTGAGCGATCAATAAATAAACTTCTATGAGAAATGTGAAATGGGCGGCGCACTAGACAAAAGTGGAAAGAAAAATTTATGTTACAAAACATCAATCTTCGGCCTATCAGGAAAAAAGTATTGGCTGAAAAATAATCGAAAAATGATGGATATTGATTAATTTCTTGGGGGGAAAGAGACAAAATTATTTTTATCATGCTGAAGAGCTTAGTGGAACTTCAAATTTGGCGGAAATTAAATTAAATTAAGTGTAGCCCATTTTTTGTTTTATAAAACCAAGATAAATATGAATGAACTCGTCGCAATTGAGACAGGGCGCGCTATTTTTATTCTAAAACTCTGATCTCGGCGCTCTCGCAGATCACATTACTGATGTCAGTGGTTCAATGGCTGTGCTATGGTTATTGTTGTGTTAGCCCCCCGTCGATAATCTCCATGACATTCTGCGCATATGGTATGGAGTACACCCTGCTCCCATAATTGTTCTGAAATTCGCTGTTATCTCCGCATTATTGTTTACCCACTTGATTGGAACCTGTCCCCGGCGGCGATATATTGTATAATATCCTGGCTATATCTGGGAAAGGCCGTTCAAATTTGCACACAAGATGATTAAAACTGGCCAAGGATGAAAAAATATCGATCGGTCTATTAGCCATCAGCTGCACGAATTAAATTTAGACCAAAACGTCTCATCACCCTTGTTAGTCTGCTATAAAACCAACTTCTGTAAAACGCGCATGTATTATTTTAGATGAAATTATTTAAGATAAGTACCACAACAGTGTTTCTTCAGTGAGTTACTTAAAAAGGAAGCTGTTTGACGTGATCCCTAATTGTGAGTTTTAAAATTTATTTTACAAGAGCTTAAAATACTGCGACAATAATGACTGCGCCAGAATTTAAGATTTTTTATTTTTGTATTTTATTATTATTCATATTAATTCTGTACAATATTAAAAACCTAAATCTTATAATATTTATATCTAATTTTAAAACCAAAGCAACTTTATCAGTGAAAACATAAAATATAGTTTTTCTTATTATGGCCATTATATCGCAGCCCACACCAAAATTTGTTGAAAGCTCTGACCATTAAAATTAATTTATAAATTAATTATCAAGATATGCCAGATTACTCATTGCTAGGGATCAAGTCAAAATTTCCTTTCGCAGATTATATATATGAAAGAGACATACACGGAAAAGAAAAAATATTTATAAGAATTGCTGTTTCTGTGATACCTCCTCAAGAAAAGGTGTTTGCCTCTTATGTCAAGTGTTACACGCTGTACGTTCATCTATTGATTTTCGTTTTCCAGCATGCAGTATGGAAAATATTTCAATATTCGTGTTGTTTTTGTTGCCAAAGACTCGTTCATTGTCCGATAAATATCTCACAGTAATTATTGCATTGTATACAAGTCATCTTTTTTTTTAATAATTGATTGCTTGTGCGACACATGTACGCAAGAGTAAGAAATTCGATCATTGGTCATTCTGTTCGTCGTTCATGCTATGTATTCTGGGTAAACAAAAATGAAATGGAAGAGAGCGAGAGAGAAAAACGCGGAATTGTTACTAAATATAGCTGTTAATTGTGATAGTTGTTTAAATGTTGAATTTACTACAAGAAGAAAACGGAACTAGTCACGTAAGGCAAATCCTCACCGTGTAAGGAAGGGTATAAAATTTGAAATGAAGAGTTATAAATTTTGTAAAACGGGCCCAGCATTTACTCACATAAACACAAACATATAAATATATAAACACACAAAAGAAAAAGAAAACACTCACTCACACGCTGTTACGTCGAAAAAGCTGAGAAAGAAAAATGGATGAAACAAACCAGGCAACGCCAGCAGATATATAAATTTGCTTCACATTTAAGTCTGACACAAAGAGATGCTACTTACGTAGAATAAATTTTGCAAACTAAAGAAAGTAAAAAAAGAAGCGAGCGTTGGCGTTGCCACAATTGTGCGCGCGGAGATGAAAAGATCAAGAAGAGAAATGAGTTGAATTCGGACGTAGCTGGGGCGAAACGAGAAGAAATTTGCTGTATATCTTTCCGCGAGACGAGAGCAGAACGCGAAATGTGTATGTTACCGCGACTATACTAAATTTGTATACAAGAGACGGAGAGCAGACGATATTAACCAGCAGCCTTTGTTCTAAATGTAATAATTATTGATCGTTGCGCACTGCGATGTACTTGTATTATAAAAACGGATATGTATATTATAAAATGGAGAACATAAAAAAAAACAGCATGCGGAAAATGAGAATTATATTATTATATATTGTCATAATTTACTACGTCAATGCGAGAGAGAAAGAGAGATGGACGATTTGTATTGTAAGGCGAGAGAAATGCGGAAACTTTTCCACGGCAAAACTGCTCTGCTGGGATGTACACACGGACACACTCACACACTTGTACCATTATGCAGCTGCTAAATAAAACAAACGGTGGTGAAACAATGGACGGAACATTCATTTATCGCCGCTCCATTAACCCGACGCGCGTCCGAACGGACCGAATCGTGCTTATCGCCGTTCGGGACGCTCCGACGGAAAATGGGACGCGCGATTTACATACTTTTTTTCCCCAAGTGCAGTGGTTTGTGTGCCTATTACGTACGCTTTGTGGCCCTTTGCGGCCACTGCACAGCTTGAATAATTTCCTCGTAACTGCGCAGCAATTTATTCATAGAGATAAAGAGGACGTGTTTCTTTTTTATCGCATTACTAGAGAGAGATGGGATGTTTCGCCAGTGTGCAGATTTGATTGCGTTTTTTGCTGAAATACTTAGTGAGCCATGACAATAATTAATTGCTAAATTTACATGGCATAATTTTTCCTTGAAAAATTGCTTAATGGAATTAGTGGAACGTCAAACATTAATAAATTTACTTTTACGCCAGTTCACTTTAATAATTACAATTTTATCACAACATTATTTGTAATTTTTTTTATTAATGGATAGATTAATTACTTTAATGATTTCTCATTGCAAAATAAACAAGGATGGTGGTACATATTTCCTTATTTTTCTTCTTTTAAGAATAAACTTCAGATTTAAATTGTTCCATTAAAATATTATTCTCAAATTCATCCCTTATATTTCTCACTCAAACTGAGGGCACAGTTCCTCGAGCTAAATATAGATGAGGGTGATCTGCGACCGGCCAGGCAACTTCTTTTAAAGCAAAATATAATTGGAGAACTTTTGTGCGGGCCGGCAGCCAGAACCGCATCCGGCGCGCAATCAATACGTCTGGCATTAACGTATAAATCTCCTAATCCCAACTTTCGCCAACGCGCAATATTAAACGGTGCGCTGGCGGAAAATGAAAAAAGTTTTTATTTTGCAAACACACTCCTCTCGTCTTTTTCCCGAGCGAAAAGTTTGCGATTCTTGCCGGTGAAGAGCAGAGCTCAAAGCGCGAGTGCGCCGTGCTGATTTATCTGCACACTGTAAACTCCAATAAAAAAGAGGCGCGCATATTTTCGTTTCACCTTGGCGCATCAATCATGAAAAACTCTCGCGAAACAACAAGTGCACTCCTCGGTATAAACACCGACGCATTAAGAGCAAAGTTTTTATATTATATTAAAAAAAAAAAGAGAGAACGAAACGAAAAGTTTGAGAATAAATGAGATCGTCCCGGTGCTCAGCGGGTTGCAAACAACTTCGGCGAGCAAATTGGAGAATAGCAGCTGTGCCGGATCGCTTGGATGGAAAATCGACTGCGCTGGATAAATGTTCCGCGAGAGAAAGGGAGAGAGAGAGTTGCTAGTTGCAAATTGGACTTCTTGCTTGTGTGCGCGTGGGAGGACGAACATCACACACCGGATAAATATAGCCGAATAAACATGGAGGCCCATCTCAATTCAACTGAATGAGCGGCCGCCGTTTACAAATATTTATGGATTGCACGCCCTTCCTTCCCTCTCTCTCTTTCCAAACAGGGGGTTGCATTCGGGGATAAAGAAAGAAAGAGAGATGCGCGGGGGCGAGAGAGCGAAAGCGTTGAATCGGAAAAAGCGGAGAGGCGCTTGCGCCATGAAGCGCCACCGAATTGTGTGAGTGTGACCATCGGCGGCAGCCAGTTTTCCCATACATTTTTCATCGCTTTTCTTCTTGCCCGTGCGCCGCTCGCGCGCTGGTGGTGCCGCCACCGCGCCTGCTTCCCACCGTCGCGCTCCTTGTTTTGGCCTGGGAGTGTGATCGTAGCGGCTGCTCGAGGCGCAGCAGGAGCTCCAGCAGTCAGTCAACCCGGTTAACACATCTGCGCACAGCACACAGTGAACTCCGCCGTTACAAAATGGATTTGTCAATAGACACTTGAGCGAGCGGACGAGAGCAGCGTTTTGCGAGTCTGTGTGCGAGCGACGAGTGGCCCAAGAGGAATGCCGAGTTGCTAATATACAGGGTGCAGCAAGCGAGAGGAGGCCATTATGGGCTGCAAGTTGGGCAAACTGGTCAGCTCCCAGGGGGGCAAAGGGGGCGGCAAAGACGGGCCTCCGGAGCCGCCGGCGCCCGCGCCTCCTGACCCGCGCCTCCCGCTGACCGCCAAGCAAAAATACAACATCATGGCCTCGTGGAAGGGCATCAGCCGCGCCATGGAGCCCACCGGGGTCTACATGTTCATCAAGTAAGTATCGCACAAAAGCCCCCGACCGAGATATTTGCATAATATTGATGCGCCCCAACGGACGAGTTCACTTCTTCTCTTCGGTCCGTGCGCGCCTTTCGATTGCAGGTTTGTTGGAAATGAAAGAAAAGAATCGGTCTGTCGAAAGGTCTTGCCATTTGCCCGCGGGACTTTTCCCATCGGCAAAGGTCAGCGCCACCGTGCGCGCCAACACTAGCAGCTCTCCCTCGCAAACATACACACATACAAATTATTGATTTTGTGCTTGTTTCAGGTTGTTCGAGGAACACGCAGAGTTGCTCGATCTGTTCACCCATTTCGCCGAACTGCGGACCAAAGAGGCGCAGCAGAGTTCCCTCGAGTTGGCCGAGCACGCCACCAAGGTGATGAGCACCCTGGACGAAGCAATACGCACCCTCGACACTCTGGACCAGACGATACAATACCTGCACTCCGTGGGCGCCGTGCATAGACGCATACCCGGATTCCACAAGGAGTACTTCCAGGTACACAAAATAGCGAAGCGGTGCCTGTCGTGAACCCGTTCCCCCTCGAATTGGCATTTCGCATGCAACCCAACTTACTTTCTTTCTTTTTCTGCCCCGGCACGCGGCGTTCGTCAGTGTTTTTATTCGCGGCCCGCTTTTTTTTATTTCGTTGCTTCTTTCATTGGGTTGTAAAATAAATTAGTCCGCGAAAAGACTGCGTCGCCAGATTCTCCGATTCTGAGTCCCATTTAAAAGGGAGGCGGGTGTGTTTGACAAAATGATCTGGGAGAAGAGGCGTCTCGTAAAAGAGAATGAAAGCACACGCGAATGACGAGCGCGTTATTTATTATTTGCGTCATGAAAGCATATTGCGCAATTATCTTTTTACTTGCTATGACAAGTTGAAATTTTTGTACCAGCATATAATAAGTGATTATTTAATTGAGAAAATTATATTTACTGACACAGAGCCGTGTTTATAAATAATAAATCAATAGCAATAGAAATACAATTATATAATACAGTATAAAAGTTAAATTTGATTAAAAAAAACATATTCGTTATTTTAATGTGAGTTAAGAATTAAGAGAGAAAGACTTCATTCCATCGCGAATAATCAGAATATTTTTCAAATTTTAGTTAATAATGAAATTGTGCTCAAGTGAGTTTTAAACGAAGTTAAATTAGCATTAATAAGTATATGTAAAATAAAAAAAGAGAACTAAGACAGCAAAAATTTATTCACTTACTAATAAAATAACCGCAATTTTATAAAAAAAACTTATTTTTTAATATAATAATAATGGCAGCATATGATAGTCATAAATTTTAAAGATTATTTTATTTTTTTCCAAATAAATATTAATTCTAATAGAAATTATGTATATTTCTTGATTTGTAAGGTCTATATAACTGATATTATTATTATTAGATATTATTTTTATAAAACTGTATTTTATAGCATTTATTTCATATATAGCGTTCTAAATTGACAATAAGTGATTCAATATTTCTAAAGATATATATGATAGACAAAAATAACTAATTTATTTGAATTGAGTAAAAATTGATGAGGAATTTTTTTGAGTAGGTAAATATTGAGAAGAAAATTTAAGCAGTTTAAAATGCAGTCAGTGTTATTTGTTTTAGCTTTGATTTGAATATAATACCAGAACATTTTCAATTTAAAATGAATAAAAAAAATGAGTTTCATTATGATTGGCAAGGGCACATAAATTTTCAAACAAGTTCACAATTTTAGGGATGGAATGGTTGTTTGAATTGAATTTTTAGTAACTCTGTATGTAAGGATAGGGCCTAGACTATAAAAACGTGTGATGCCGCCGCAATGATGGCTGTAAATTCGATGCTTAAATGTGTCAGGTCTGAGGAATGCCAGCTGCTGACATTTGACATTTGCAAAAAGTAACTTTGAGCCCTTTTTATAGAATAGCGCTCGCAATATTCGTAGAGGCCTCAGAGCGTCTCGTATAAACGCAACCAAAGCAAACACAAACTGCTGCTCCAAGATGAAGTTTTTATGTCGCGATGTGATCGAGGAGGGAGCACTGCGGCGCCTCTTCTTTAAAGTCAAAATGCGCGTTTGATCCCCGAAAATACTCAGGCGCCTCTCGTAGCGGAACTTTGCGTGCGGCGAAGACGCCAAAGGGGCGCTATTTTCTTGCGACACTTCTCCGCCTCTAAAGCTTTCTTTGCTACCAACAAAATAATCCCCTGATGCTGCCGGAAAAAAAGAAATCGACGAGACCCAGACGAAATTATCGTCCATTCGCTAATTAATTTCGGAGCGAGAAGGAAAGGAAAAAAATCAAGAGCGCCTGCTTGTTCTCTTTCGGAAGAAATGTGCCACGACGGCCGGCCGCTTTCTTTCCTTTATTGGAGAATACACTCGGGACCTTTGGTACAGTTGGCGTGGAATTTCTTTTCGCGACCATTGTTCTTTAAGCTTTGTGAAATACGGGGTCGGAAATAAAAAATAAAAAAAAAGATGAAAAACGGGCAGGAATAGTGTCAACAAGCGTGCACACCCTCCAGCCCGGTGCGAGTGGAAACGCGAAGAAAGAAAGCGGCCTGCGATGTGTACATGTGTTTGTGGCATATGCGTCATCGATTTTGCCGCGCCGCCGCCGCCACCGCCGCATACATTTGCATTATGTTGATGGAGGTGCCGTTGTCGTCCTCTATTTACCTGCAATGCAATATTGCCCACGTGGAAATGGGGAAATAACCGCAGAGTATGTATATTTATGCGCCTAAACGAAATGACGCGCCTGTCAGATCCAGCTGCGGAGCTTTGGCCGCGGATCAAAACCGATCCGGCCAGACTGACGGCAGGGAAGGAAAAAAACGCGGTCGCGGGAGAACAGGTGCCGCGGGCACGGAAACGCGATTATTTATATTTAATGCCGTGTATAATTAAATTTGAAAAATGGATCGGCAGCGGATAACGTGCATGGCCGCGAATAAGCACATTTAATGATATCAAGCGAGTGGAATCGGTCTCGGCAAAGAGATTTGGTAGGTGCGCGGTAAACAACTTGTCACAACGCGCAGTCATTAGTGCATAATGCCTGGGAAATTGCTTCGGAAAGTAAACAACTTTGCCGACGGCTGCTCCTGTTGCAAATAACCAACTCATTCAAATTAGATGCGCGGTGAACAAATTCGTAGGGCGGCTCCTCGGGCGGTTGCCCCGCGATGATGATGAACTGCCGTCGAATTTGAATAATGGGGCTGCACACTGCATGAAAGAGCTTTCATCAAAATAGATTGCTGCAAAGGCGAGCATAACATGTGGTCGTTGTTTTTATTCAAATTAAGCGGTTCTAAAAACCAAACATGCTAAGCAAACAACGTGCACAAGATTGATGACTATCCTTTGCACTATTACGAAAATTCTGATTGACTTTAGTAAAACATAATAGCTATAATTATCAACACTCTGGTGATTTTGATGAGACTGAACAATTTAATTTTTTTATAAAGGAAAATTTTGGTATACTTTTGTTTTAATTTTAAATTGAAAAATTGATTTTGATTATGATTTTTTTTTAATAATCAAGTCCGAAGCAGCTAAGAGAGAATCAATTACATTATAAGCTGTTATATAAAAGTAACTGAATATACAGTGTCTTAAATAATCAAGAATTTTTATGATCTTTTTTTATTTAAAAAATTGTAATAATTTATTTTTCCAAATTATTAACGATTATTGCCATTTTTAAAATTAAATATTTTATTCGAATTACAGTAAAAACTTCTCATACGCCATTTAAAATTATAAATACCTACATAATTTCATATTCGGAGCTCTTAACTAAATTAGGTTCAATTATTCTCATCATTTAAAAAAAAACTTAAAATATTTTTTTTTTTGCATCCGTCATTTGAATATATGCATAATTGTAACTAAATAAATGTATGAAATACAAAATGTGAGTTGAAATTTATTTTAATTTAATTATTCTGCTCTTTACATTTTATTTTCATTTTGTTTTCGTTCCTTACAATTCTATTTTTCTAGCACATCTGGCTCCAATTCAGTTGAGCACAGATGACTGCGGCGTGCATCGTTTGTGTTAAAATTTTCATAAGCTCACGTACACGTTTAATACATACAAAGCACAACATTCCATTTGGCCGCATTATCAGTTTTCCACTCGCAAAAGTTCAAAGCCCATATATGCGTTTCCACGCTATTGCCGCAGCTGGTGCGGACCAGCCCCATATTCTCTGATACGAATAAAGCAACACGCATCTGCGTTACACAGCCTAGACCTCAAAGAGTCACGTTTGTTTAGCTTTGGGCTCCAGAAAAAAATCATATACACGAAGCCCGAGGTGCTCGAAAATCAAAGCAGAGACACACGCGGATCAAAAATAACTCATCACGCTGACAAAATCCCCCTCCCTCGTCGCGAGTGTGTCACAGTGAGCGAGTTTTATTTCTGACAGTCGACGCCAGCATTCCATCAAAATAATTTATTCCAAAAAGGAAGGACAAAGCGCCCGACTGCTTTTGCTTTTCACCCGCTGCGAGAAATTTAGCGTGGCGGACGAGTTTTCTCGGCGCACAGGCAGTTTAATTTGATGAAATTCAGGATTAGGCAAATGTGCCCTTTCTCAAGCAAGAGTCTGAGAAATGGCTCAGCATTAAATTACAGAATAAAGGTAGCTGTGTCACTCTTAAGTCTTATTCTTAAATTTATACGAAAATTATTTTTTAGAAAAACGTTTTTATTTGTTTGAGAATTTAAAATCCAAAGAAACCACTTGAAACGGGAAATAGTTTATTTAGTAACTTTTCTTAAATATCTTGCGCCTCGGAATGTAATTCCATGTAAAGATTAATCACAAGTTTGACAAGTTACTAATTTATTTATTTATTTATTTATTTTTTGATACAAAATTATGGAAAGTGATTTTTATTTGATTCAGGTCACAGAGGTTATCCTTTTTAATAAAAAAATCCCCTGTTTATAAATTGGGCGCACATTGTCAGAATAAATGGAGTATATATTGGTTACCGTACGTGGAAATGGAACGATGACGGCGTCTAAAAGCGCCTTGACCTTTCACGGCCCGCCGGTTTCCTGCAATCACTCATTCCGGGTGCCGCAAACTGATTCGCCTCTTTCTCTTTTGTGTTCGCAGCGAATAGAGAAGCCGTTCTTGGACGCAGTCAAGACTACCCTAGGTGATCGTTACACAGATAACGTGGACGTGATTTATCAAACAACAATCAAATTCATCATCGCCACGCTGGAGGAAGGCTTCGAGTTGGGTGCGACGAACCCCGAACTGGCAAATTCGTACGTGGACTACAGCAAGTCGTGAGTGCGTGGCGACCCCGTCAGCGGAATAAAAAGTGCTCGTTTGTTATCAGATGCAATAAAATCAAAAACCTTTCTTTTTACGCGATCGAGTGAGCAGGTGAAGAAGGGTGCGAGAATCGCGCGCGGGCCGTCAGATTTCCGAGGGACCCGCCTTGTGCTTTCTCGGAGCATTTCGTGTGTAGTTGTTGCGATTTAATTCCGAATCGGAGAGAGCGTTAATTATCCCGTGGATGTACGTCTGGAGCACGTCTCATGAGTGTGTGTGTGTGTTCTGTAATAATGCCGTTCGTGTGTAATGTAACTCGTGCACGGAAAGCATGTGTGTGTTCTCTGGTAGATGCTGAGCCCCGAAAACATGTATAGGATGTGCCACCGCAAGAGGCTCTCAAAGCGCTGGCTGCAACGACACTATACTGCTCTACACTATTTCTAGTCAATCTCACACATACACGTAAAACGACTGAGCTTAAATTTATAACGCCTGTTAAAATTAATATACGCTCGAATAATAATAACGAGGCCAGAGTTGAACGTGCGCGCACCCACAAACTTATCAGCGAAATTATCGATTTTCACCGCAGAGGTGGATGCAAGGCGAGCAAAGCGGCATTCTAAATTCGTCCCCGAACTGGTTGTGTACCCTCTGGGAAGGCGACAGGCAGCAAAACTCAATTCGACCTTCTGTCAAGCGCTAATCCGGTCAAACTAACTAACTGAAACTTACTTCCTATCGAGGGCCAGTTGTATGCAACCCGCTCAACTCGGACGTGGTGCAGATTGCATAACTTGATTGGAAAACAATGCTGTTTTAACAATTGCAAAGTTTGATTTTATCGTTTCGCGCTCATGACAACGTAAATTTAAATGATTTTTAATTTTTAATGGAACATTTTATTAAATTTAATTAAGACTCTCTGAGAAGTAAAAAAAAATACAAATGGAATTGGACAAGTTTTAATTTTCCTGGAAAACTGCAGGTGTGATAAGATTTGTATTTGGTTGAGAAGCTGTATGTTATTTCGGTTATTTCAAAGTCAAAATCTACTTGTGGGGCAAAAAATTTGAATCGAAAGGGAATTATGGATGGAAGCAATAAGAAAATCTCACTTCAGAACAAACCCCTTTGTTTCTTCACACTTTGTTCACCTTCTGTCTATAACTCCTGCACTTATATATTGAGATTTTTGCCTTCAGTATGAATCCAAGAATTCCTCTGCTTGACTTTAAATTCCATTTATTTAATATTTTTGTAATTTCAAAATTAATTTTTATCTCTTTCTCTTCCAAATTCCTTTCTTAAAGTTAGCGTGATATTCTCAAGTTTGAATTTAATGGATTCAAAAGTTTTAAATATCTGCCAAGCTTTTTAGCCAATTGCATCACACCTCGCTCAACTTCAAACACAAATTAATTAAATTTTAATGAAACTTGATCAAAATTTCAAGGGAAAGAATAAAAAAAAGGGGCACATCTCCGTCGGCGAAATATTAATTTCCGCCCTCGCGTCATGAAAGTTGCTGAATCAAATTTTGCAGACGTTGCCCGAGAGTTGGTCGGGTCGTTAAACAAGCACTGCCTGACAATTTCGCAGATAATCAAAATTTTCCACCACGAGCGGTTTCTTTCACTCCTCGCGAGAAACGACGCTAAAAAGCACGGTGATATATTTTCGAAAGATTTTGCTGATGACTCTGGTCGGTTTTTAAACGGTCGCTAACTAAACCTCAAAGTAAATGCCTTAAAGCAATTAAATCTAATCACCGCGCGCAGCCAGCAGCGCCGAACGAGAGCTAGCAAACTGCTGCCGCACTCATTAAAATGCAAAACACCTGCCAGCCTGGCCACCCTAATTAATCGGGAGCGGCGTTTGTGTGTATGTTTGGTGCACCCCCTCTCAGGCTGATTGATGCAGGTGCCGTTGTTGCAGTGCTGCGGGCTTGCCTACTAATTATTCAATTAGTACGAAAATCAATTCACGGCGGTCTGTGTGGCGGAAAGGCGCTAATCTGCGCGCAATTATCATCCTCGCGTGTGTATGAGTGTGGACGAGTGCATTGATCGTGTGTGCGTTCAAAGGCAGTCAGTCCTTGCACAGTTCGAGTCGCAGAAATAAAGGGCGTGGAGAAAGTTGGCAAAGTTTGCGTCGTACCACTTTTTGTGCGCGACGACCGTGTAATTAGGACTGCTTTTTGCGCCAAGACGCTTCCAAGGATTAATTAATTATGGCAACACTACCCCGGCGTGGGTTGCGATTTCAATGGAAGTCGACAAGGCTAATTTCAAGCATTTTGCTTTCATCAGAGAATTGTGAATTTCCAGAATTTCTATATTTGGGCTCGTTTTGTATTACGGAAAATTATGTTGCAAATGGAAAACGGCTTCAAATTAATCAAAGAGAAGCCTTTGCTTTCATCTCTTTGCCTGACAAATTAAATGTACAGCCTTTTAATAATGAGACAGGCTTCATATTTGTTTAATTGGTTTTTTTTCTTCTTAATTTTGTTATAAAACTCTTAAAATTAATATAATCTCAATGCTTCAATAAAACTTAACACAAAATTTATTTTAGCCATTTAAAAAAAAATTTGTCTGCAAAATATAATCCATCATTTATTAGAAAATAATTTATCTGCTTCCATAAATCGGCGCCCATCACGCCCAGGATGAATTCGTCGCTAAGAAAAATTTTCGGCGTCTCTTTTGACAGCTCCAATGAAGCCATTTGGAAAGTTCTTAAGCAATTCCAGGCAGCTCCTTCCCTCAGATTTCGTCGCCGCACCGTAAAATTTTATGGGCCGGTGATACCACCGCGATTTATGATCTCGGGGCTATCCCTGCTTCGCACGCACGATGAAATTTTCCGATTCAGACGGGCTGCGAGCGATTAGGAAAAATATTTGCGCGCACTCAAACACACACGAGCCTCGCCTCTTCGATAGAATAACAGAGTAGACTGAAAAATCCCACTCGGCAATTTTCGTTCTCGCCGCAACTTTGACTACCTCGCTCTTGCTCGCACTCTCTCCTGTAACTCGATTATACGCCTCCGCCGTTTCTCGATCTCGAATTTCGCCGGTGCAAAAATAATTCGCTACACGTGGCGCAATCAAGCAGGAACAGGGGTGAGCCGGCTGAGCGACGTGTTGGCGTGTTTTTATCATTGCAGTTGTGTTCACGAATGTCTGTTCAATTTTGGCGCCTATCAATTAAAAGTGTGCGTGCGTTTTGAGTAATTATCGCGTTACACGCAAGGAACATCCACGAAAACGTGCACCCCGTATGCAAATCCACTCCGAGCGTGTCAAGAAATGCACATTTTTATTTCCAGACGAAAAACACGTGGAATGGTTTTTGATTAAGATTAATACTTTAAAAAATCCTACGTGCATTTCCGTTGATTTAGAGAGAAAATTTTTTATGATACAATAATTTTTGTGATATTCCAGTTACCCAGCTGTCAGCAGTAGAGAAAATTAGAAATTGATTTACTGCGGACAAGCTTAAATCTAGTTTTATTCAATATGCCAGCCTTGCGTTTGGCTACACACTGTATGTAGGCAATAGGAGATCGTAGCTGTTGCGCAGGTTGCATATATTTGTCCAGACATAACATTCATCCAGAAACAGATTTAAATAGCATGTATGCCGTTTCCGCGAATGGTCCTTGTTGAGGCAATTTGAAGTTTTTACGCGACGCAAAAGAGTGAAACCTAAGTGTACTAACTGTGCAAAAAAGTATGTAAAAAAACAACGTTGTGCGAACGGTTGGCTCTCCTGTCCCAGTGGGTGAGAATGAAATTCAATCGCGAGAGGGGATCAAATCTTAATTTATTTTTGATCAAGTAAATTTCCCCTGGCAACAAACAATTTTGAGGGTTCGAAATTCAATTTTAAGAATATTGTGGACTTCTTACCCGTTCCAAGAACTGGAAATTTTGTGTAAAATGTGTCAAAGACAAAAACGCCTCTGGACGATGTTTTACCGAACCCACATAACAGTCGATGTCAAAATTTTAATGTGTTGAAAGACCAACGCCACCAAATGTCATTACCACAACCACACTAATTACTACCGATTGCTGAGGAATTGTACCTTTTTAGACGGCAAGTGTGTTTACCGAGGAAAATAAATAAATTATCACTATGTCATTTTGTACAGAGTTATTATTAGGGCCGATCGCGTTAGAGTCATCTCTGTTCAAGCAGGGTCTGTCTGTGCGGTGAAGGGAAAGATCACAAACAAAAATGTAGGTTGTTTTAGGACCGTAGATTGGTTTTGTTTGTTATGACGGGAAATGACGCTTCAAAACAAGTGTGTCTTAATTAGATATTTTATTAATCAATAGTGAGCCGCGAAAAGGATGTATGATTTTATCTCAAAAACAGATCATTGTTAGAGTCAATTAAATAGGGCGCCGATAATAAACGATAGACTTAATTAAATGGCATTAAGACTTAATTTGTTTTGAGCACGATTTCCCTTGGGTCATATTCCATTTATGTAATTATCATTATTATTTGTTAGGAGTTTTCTGTTTTGTATAAAAAAGAGATCTCAAATTTTGCACTAACTTTGTATTAACATTTGAAGAAATATTTACTTGATGTATTGTACAATAATTAATTATTACCATGAAATCGTTTATTATGCTTTTAGTGAGAACTGTTGAATTGTTTGCTTCTTGTGTAACGGAAAGGAAATAAAGAGAAATATAAATAATTCTAGTTTTTTTTTAATTATCTGAAAAGCCCTTCATAAATAAACTGCAAGAAGCGCAGTGTTAATTTTTTATCACAAACAATTACTTCTTAAATTAAAAACAAACAAGGAAATAAAATTCCCTCTTAGAGGCACGTACCTTTTGAGACCGAAATGATGTGCCGCCCTTTACCTATTCTCTTCTCCGTTCAGTGAATTAGAATGAAGTATCATTAAGCGGAACTGTTCAGCGGTCCATTTAAGTGCGGACAAAGGGCGCTGCGCCACTGGGAATAAGACAAAGTGCGAAAGACCTTTTATTGAGCAATAAAACGCACATCTCCTTAGGACTGTCTAATAAAAATTTCAATCATTGCTTTAAAACCCCCAACAGGGTTATTTCTTCCCTCGACAGCAGGGGGCTAGCTCAGAGTCGAAACCATTATTTTCCTCTTGCATAAATATATATATATCGTCGGAGTGGGCTAATCTGCAAGGCATGTATAATATATTGGATTTCTGTGTAAGTCGCGGGTCAACGACATTCGAGATTGGCAAAGAGCGAGTGGCGCAGGAAAAAAGAATTATATATGTGTCAAATGGAGTGAGAGTGTGTGTGCAGCTCTTGACGCCCTCGCCGCTTCCTGCCTTATTGATTAATAAATGTTGCTTGATCAGAGTCGTCCCGTCGTCCGCGTCATTCCAGAGCCCCCGACGTTCGATTGATGTCGGTTCGCCACTCGTTCGCATTCGCGCACAAATATACAATAAATTTTTAGGCGGCGTCCAGACCAGACCTTAAATCACAACTCTTCACACGCCATAGTGTGCGCGCGCGAATTCATCCATTTTTTCCTTTCCTCTGGCGGAAAATCTATTGCGTGTCCCGGAGGTATATATCTTAATCGGGAAAATATATCCGTGGCACACACGCGCACAGTGGTGGGAGGGCGCGATATAAAAAGAATTGGAGAGGAAATTGAATAAGCAGAGGCCGCCGACATGCAGCAGCACCCCCTCAAGACGCGACTCGCGGCCGTGATGCTCCTCGCGGCCGCCACTTGTGCAGCAGCGGTGAGTCGCCTCTAATTAATTAACCGCTTTTCATTTGCAATTCCAAGTGGGCCGCCCGAGAGGTTCGTTAAAATTTTGCGGCGTCCCGCTGAAACCGCCTGAGTTTTCTTTCTCGGGCCCAACGAATGAGCTCGGATTTCATTTCTCATCATTATAATTTAATGAATTTTCCACGTTTCCACCGGCAAAAAATAAATTCAAGCTGTCGTTTTAATAATACTGATAATAGTTGCTCTATTGAAATGTGTAAGAATTTGAATTATTCGATATATTACGAAGATAAAATTGAATCGCAGTAAAGGCCATTAGCCTGGAACTGAGATTTATGATTGGAATAAAGCGTAATTGCTCTTATCTGTGCGCGACTCTGCTCTATAAATTTTCTGGCATTGCCCGCCTTTGAATATTAGTTCCACGGCTGGAGGATTTAATCGAGCGAACGGTCTCTTTTGTCATCATTTTTATCATCTCAAGCGCAAATCGTTTTCAGATGCCACATTCACAGAGTGACAGCATGATCCGAGACATGGAAATCGTCAAGAAGTGCAACTACACCTCGCCCGTCGCAAAAGGTTGTGAACTATGGTTGATTGATTTTAATAGATACTAACTTTGACCTTCAGACGTGCTCAATTCTGCCCTGATCAACAAAATTCTGCTCGATTCCAACAATTACGCATTCAAGGTGTGTTCCAAACTTTTCATTCATAATCAAATTTTGCAATAAATAATTATTAATGAGATGGCTTGAAATTTGAAGCTTTTGTTTCTAGATGGATTCATTCATTAGCTATTGCGGTTTAGTGTTTAATCGGCATAAAATAGTGAAAATAATCTTATATTTCAGCAGTTTGCTGAATTTTAATTGTTAGGATAAAAATTTATTAAATGATTATTTAAAAAGAATCCTATTATTTCTTTGTTCTTAAAGTAAAATAATTTTTTTTTTAATTTTAAATTTTCTTATGCATACAATTTTTTTTGTATTCCTTGCAGTCATTTAATAAGAAATAATACATTAAAATGATAATAATTTGTAATTGTTTTAATTTTAAAACTTTTAAAATAATATTCCACAATTTTTCTATTCTCTAATCCAGTTCTTCGTGATCAATAACTTTTATCAGCTATACAAATATTAATACACTTAAAACTCATATCAAGCTTACGAAAATTCAGTTTCCTATTTCAAACCTCAATTCTTGAAAAAGAAAAATATACTATATTTCTCTTTCAAAAAATCAAGTTACATTCCATTAGGTTGGCTTAGATGACTGTAAAGTTTTTTCAAAGTATTTGAAGTACCCTTTGCCAAGAAAGTTTTTGCCTCTGTCGTTTTCTATTTCCTGCGGAAAAGGCCAGAATAGCGAATTGACCGGAAGGCAACCCCTTTCGTCCATTTGTTGACCTGAACCTTATCTCCGCAGTGCCGAGACACCAGGATGCAGCTCCGTATGTACAGTCATATTGTACGCGGAGCGAAATCTGATCTCGGTTGCTGCCGCAGAGAATAATTTCCACCCCATTTGCACAATCCCGAGACTGCTCTTTCAAATTTACTTTTGGCCCTTATTCTTGTTCACAGTGTTTCCTGCACTGTCTCTATCGAGAGTATGGCTGGGTGAGTTTTTCCTTTTCGCAACTTTCAGTTCCGGCAATTGGCATTACACACGCCAGTGACGCCGATTCGCAGAGAGAAACACGTCACGTACACTTTGGCAGGGCTGCAGCGTTTTCTATAAAACAAATGCTTCATCCTTTCCTCCCCCGGTGAAAGCGCCCACGCACACACCGGCTGAAACTTTATCGCGACCCTCGTTCTCCGCCGAGCTCGAACAAGAGATCTGTTTTGGGCCACTTTCGCCCCCGCCACATCTCCGACATCGTGCCGCGATTGAAAGGGACGCGCTGATGAGCATCTAACCAATGTCGCGTGTGCTCGTCCTGATCGATAAATCGTCCGCGTGAGGAATCCACCACCGCAGGTCCAAATACGTTTATAACACGCATGATGTATATAAAGAACACCTCTTTGCACGTGGACAACTAACTAAAGGCGGGCCTGATTGCACATGGGAAATCGGGCGAATGGAAAGGGGTGATAAGAGCTACGGTTGCTCACCGGATATTTGGTCAACGTCATCCACCTTCAAAGATCCATATTCCAATTCGAAAAGTGTTTAAAACATGGTTGAATAATCAAAAATGAAAATTCAAGATAAAAGTGGTGCCAAATAAGTTTTATTAAATTTTCCAATGTTTAAATATTTACAAAAAAATATATAAAGTTAAAAAATCGAATATTTAATTACGGAAATTAATTCTAATAGGATTCGTTAATACAATGAAGCCAACTATTTGACAATTTTTAAGAAAAATTGATATTTAAATTATCTGAAAATAATTATTGACCATGTCTAGCCACGGAATTACTGTCCTTTTAAGGTCGATTGTATGTATGGAAATCGGGTGTGATTAATGGTTACAGCCCACGCTTTAGTTGAGGCGCATTATATATATTGTACAAGAGAGGCCATGCGAGAGGAAATACACAGCGCAGAGTTGGAAGAGCAAAAGTTGGCTCCGGCGCCGCACTAATAAAGTGCTCAATCACTGCTGCTGCATATTCATCTCATACACGGAGCGAGAGTGGGCTGTCGATATTTTTACGCTACCGACAGCTTTTTTAATCACGATTCCAGGGAAAGGGGTGCGACGCCGCGAGAGACTGTTGCGTTGGCATGTACATTAAAACATGTACATTCACACATAAAACGCACATACACTTTCAAAAGAATTGAATGTGAAATCGATGCCAGAATTTCCAGCGTTTTCAACGCTTGAATACTTCTGAATAGAATAAACCGTGTTCGTCTGTATACCACGTTTCAAACGTGTGTTTAAATTATTTTTGTTTACTTTTTTCATTTACAGCAGTAAAATTTGATTACTAAATTTTTTACTAAATACAATGCTTATAGATATATACATAATTATAAATTTATATGCACACACAACACATTCATAAAAACTAAAAAGGCAGAAATTGCTGCTGTGTCAAGCCGCTCTTTTTACATTTGAATAGTTGATTTATTCCAATTTATTTGCTCACAGCATTTTGTACATTGCCGTCAATGACAATTTCGATTTGCTGCATGCATATTATCTCGTAAAAAGGGCCGATCTTTAAAGTAAGTATTTTTCCATTATTTACTCTCAGTCACTGCATGAGTGGTTTAAAAGTCTGGGATTATTTACGTAATTGAAATATTTTTAAAATTCAATGTAGCTCCATTTATCCAAAAATTTAAATTATAAATAAATTAAAAGTAAATATTTTCCCAAAAAAAGTTGGGGTCTTTTTTTATATTTTAGACGCAGAAGTAACTATACGATTTTTTTTAGAAATCCACATTTGGCATTTCCCTCTCTCAAAACCCTCTTCCCAAATCATATTTTCGTCCCGCTTCCTCCATCTCTTTCTGAATCACAGGCAGATGTATAAGTCTCTGTTCAATCGATTCGTTTGCTTGTGCATGAACAAGAGAGACCCTATATATGTGCTCTCTGGAGCAAAAAGCCTCTCGACGGGCACACGAGCCGGAGCACAGACCTTAAAACTTTTAATATTAAAACATAAAAAGCCCCGCCGAGTCCCTCGACTTGGAGTGGACCAGCATTTCATCAGACGCGAGGATAAAGGCCCTAATGGCCGGTCGGCCGCAGTTTTTGCTTGTGGCGGATCACTTGAGAGACGAGTGTAATGCCAGCAGTCCGGCGGCAAAAAACAGGGGGTCATCGACGTTAATGATCTTAAATGAGCAATCTGTTACAATTGACAGATGGACCATCGAGGCGAATTCCAGTTGAAGCCAATGAAAGTTTTCTTGCACGACGCCCGCCTGCCAATCTCGATCATTCGCAAATTGCTGCTTTTTTGCACCGACACTGGTAAAATTACATCACCCCCGAACACACTTTTTGGCCTTGTTGTAACGTCAATTTATGTCTCGAGTGGAAATCAATTTGCCACGTCCCACCTGCAATTTCCAGTCCCTCTTGCAAGCTTCTTGATTGGCCCCATTATTTTTCTCCGTGCTGCTGCGTAATTTAAAGCACGTTTCTTTTCCATTTAAATGAGTTCTTTTGTGACTAAAGATGTATTTATATATTTGTGTTATCGATGAATTACTCCCTAACAATGAGAATGATATAAAAGCAGAAGCTTTAGAGTTTGTAATTGAAATTATCTCAAACAAAGAATATAATTTTAATTATAAATAATAGATTTACAAAATTTTTCTCTTGATCATTAACAAGAAACCGCGCGGATTTATTACAAGAGGTTAAAAAAAGAATATATTGAAGAGGATAATATTGAATCTTTTCAAATTTCACTGTTTAATCTGTACATTTTTTATATAACGCATATTTTTATACCCTTTAAAATATTTTATGGTTAAATTAAACCCCCAACTCATTTATTAATTTAAAAATAATTAACAAAATTGTACATATGTATAAAACACATAATGCACATTTTTCTTGTTTCTTATTTATGTTTAACTGCAGAATCTAGGGACAAATGTGACCGCGCGTACGACTACACCCAGTGCTTCTGGGGAATAGTGAAAAAGGTGAGTTCTTTTTCAATGTCCTCTTTTCCATGCTCTCCTTTTCTCCGCATAGCGATCGGAAATAAAATTTTATGGTATAAAAATAAAAATTGGTATAGCGGGCGGCGCTCACGTGCGATCCGCCGGGATTTTGTTTGAATATATTATTCAGTCACGCGCAAATGCAATAATAAAAAGCCCTCACTCACCTCCGCGCTTTTGATTTTGCAGCCGCAGTTGTTGGAAGAGGGCCAGGATGATCCCTTCGGCGTGAGCGACGACTTTGAGACACCTTATCACCTTCTGGACGATGAAGCCAACTGAAATCAATACGCCCCTGTAATCAATTTCCCGCTGCAACGCAAAATCTGTATCTACGATAATAATTAATCACGTGCGTCATCTGTCAAAACACATCCGAGCAGAAAATTTATCGTTCATACCACAGTTCACCATTTTTGCATATTATTGTATGTTATATATTACAAAGTATTTAATCATTGATGTATGTTAACCTTTATTACTTAAAATTTATTTTAAAGCCAAAGACAAAAATAAAATATCTATAGCCAGGATGTGATCAAAAATTAATTTTAACAGTATTTTATTCAAAAACCGTCATTATCAAGAAAAAAACGTAATTTCTTTCAAAACAAGGATTGCCCATTAATTTCTCAGGTACCATAGAGGAAAATTAAATAATATTGTCGTTAAAATTCGTCAAAGTAAAAAAAAAAAATACACTGTAGACCTGAGATTTTACAATAATTTAAACAATTTTTTTAAGGGGTAAGGAACCACATTATTTTTTCTATTTTAATTCAAATTTAAGTTCAAACTGTGAATGAAATTACATTAAATAGAAAAACTGATTGAATCAATGAAGTCTGGATATGGCGGATATGGATAGAATAATAGGAATAATAAATTAAAAAATAGAAGCACACGAGCACGTGCTCAAGGCGCCTATAATTCCAATCTCCCGGGCACTTTCAGATGAGCCAATGAATGAATCTCCTGCGAAATACTTGGGTGTGTCCGCCATCTTTTGCAAATGGCGCAGGGCCGTTGAGAATACGGCTTGTTTTACTGAATTTTCTCGTAAAATTTGCTGGAAACTAAATGCTGCAGAAAATGACGGGTGAACCAGAAGATAGGGAAACAATTTGCGATTCTTTGGTATGTTATCTTTCCCGCGTCGAGCTCTTTGCCTCGTCTAAATGTCACTAAAACATTCAATTTCATACAAAAATGTGGTCCTCTTTTTAACCAGGAGGACCATGTTTAACTTGTTATTTACATACATTTGCTTGCGCGAACGCTCACTCTAAATAAATTTTTGACGTATAGAACTGTTACCTTCACTTTAAAATGTTTTTTAACCCCTTTGGCCAGACATTTTCCTGATTTATTATTCATTTTTGTCTTCCAGTCTTCGCTAGTGGAAGGATGCAGACTTCCAGTAAAAATGAGAAACAGCGACGATTGGCGTAAGCTATGCAAAATTAATCGCGAGTTTTTTTAATTAAAAGTATATTTTTTGCAGCGCTGGCGGAAGTGATCAGCATAAGGGATGGAGAGGGAATGAAGTATTTTTATGTTCATTATATAGACTGTAAGTTAATCAAAAAAACAAGTTTAAAAATTGTTTACGTACTAATTTTTCAAAAAATTTCAGTCAATAAAAGACTTGATGAATGGGTCTCTGAAGACCGACTGGACACAAGAAAAGTTCAATTTCCCAGAAAAGATGGAGGGTCGAGTCAGTCAGGTCTGCAGACTCCTAATAGGCGAGTAGAGACTGAACCTTCAAGGCCAGAAACTCCTCCGAATACACCAGGAGAGCTGGTCAATGGAAATGCTGTTTTAGCGGCTGCATTAAATAAAAAACTGACTCGAAAACGGAAAATGCCGTCAATAGAGGCAGAGGTCTGTGAAATTGTGAGATCGTAACACTTCAAAATTGCAGTTTGTCTAATTCCACATTTTTGCACAGACGGCTCCTGAAGTTCCGGTTGCGCCAATCATTGGCAGTGGGGCTCTGGTCACAAGTGAACCGGGGAAAAGAACTTCTGGCAGTTTAGTGACCCATCACCACGACGATGTTGTCACAAGAATGAAAAATATTGAAATGATCGAGTTAGGTCACAAAAGAATCCGTCCGTGGTACTTTTCTCCGTACCCTCAGGTAGAATTAAGTTCCTGGAAAAGTCGGATATTAAAACTTTCTGATTTTTATTTTTTAGGAATTAGTCAACCTCACCTGCATATACATTTGTGAATTTTGCTTGAAGTACCGTAAAAGCAGGAAATGTTTGGAAAGACACTTAGTAAGTAATTATATACTAATTTTTTTCAACCGTTGTTGACTAAGATTTTTTGCAGAAAAAATGCAATTTGAGACATCCTCCTGGCAACGAAATATACAGAAAAGGAGTGATTTCATTTTTTGAAATCGACGGCCGCAAGAACAAAGCTTACGCTCAAAATCTCTGTTTGCTGGCAAAACTTTTTTTGGATCACAAGACTTTGTACTACGACACAGACCCATTCCTCTTCTATGTGATGACCCAATATGATGCTCGGGGCTTCCACATTGTGGGCTATTTCTCTAAGGAGAAGGAATCTACTGAAGACTACAACGTTGCTTGCATTCTCACTATGCCTCCATACCAACGAAAGGGTTACGGAAAGCTGCTTATTGAATTTAGTATGTTGCCCAACCACTAAAATGACTAGGTTGCATTATTACCGTATCATCTTAGGTTACGAGTTGTCCAAGTTCGAAGGCAAGACAGGTTCTCCGGAGAAACCCCTATCTGATTTAGGTTTGCTTTCGTACCGAAGCTACTGGGCTCAAACTATCCTGGACATACTTGTTACTCAGAATCCTACAGCTGATAATGAAAAACCTCAAATTACTATAAAGTAAGATGTGCGCCTTGCTATGAGATTAATTTAATTTTTGTCCTGTCCGATAAAACAGTGAAATTTGTGAGATGACCAGCATCAAAAAAGAAGATGTGATATCCACCTTGCAAAATCTGAACCTAATCAATTACTACAAAGGACAGTACATAATCACAATAAGTCAGGAAATGGTGCAGAACCACTTGGCGGCCATGGAAAAAAGATCACTGCGAATAGATTCCAAATGTCTTCACTGGACACCAAAAGATTGGAGCAAGCGGGCCAAGTGGTTGGAAAAGTGCTAGTTTTTGCAATAACAATAGACTAATATTTATGTTCTGCAGTGTGCATTCTGTTGTCGGGAAAAATCTGAATATTAAATAGTGCTGCCAGCAGGATGTGTCAAATATCCTACACATCTGTTTTCTTTTGATCCTTTGGTAAGATAGAAGCAGATACATAAGAAACAGACTAATTTGATGGAGAGTATGGCCAGGAGTTTCCAACAGCGTTTCCAATAAATTTGTGAAATATTTCTTAGAACATTTCCATCCTAATATAAATTAATAAATTATTTCTGAATCAAATAATTGAAACTGGAAGAACTGGATGATTTCTTATTGTCTATCAAAGAAGTAAAGGAGGTGAAATTAGGCTATGAGATCGAGGTAGGTTGGTATACGATTCATGATGTTCGTCATTTAAATTTTTTTCTTTTTTAAAATAATTTATTGCATTACATAACTCTACATGCATTTTAATCTAATAGCCTCAGTACATAACTTTCAATGCAGCTAGAGATTGCAAACAGAGTTACCTCCTTAGTGAGGGAAGAGATCCAGAATAAATAATTAAATATTGAGTACATATTGACCCTATTAACTATGCACATGAAATAGAGAAGTAGTCTGCTAGTCGTAGTCAAAATACTTTAGTGTCAATGGCAGTAAAAATAATTTGTATCAATATCATGAAATAATGATTGATATATGGCTCCAGTCAGATGTGATTTAAATGCAAAATAATGAAGCGCTTGAAAGATTTGTCAAGGCATAGTGTCAGTTTTTCATAAAATGAAATCAGTACTTCGTCTTCGTCTCCTCAATGGGCACTGACGGTTCAGGCTCTTTGGTTTGAGGCTCAGATTTCTCACTTTCTTTCCAGCCGCCCATTTCCAGATCTTCCTTTTTCTGCCTCTCTTCCTCCTATTTTTTATGAATAAAATTTTTATAGAAATTTTTTATTGAATAATGTATGATGATTATAAAACCTCTTGGATGGTTCTCTTGTACTCCTCAATTTCGTACTCGTATTTAGGTCGGGTGATGCCAAAGAAATTGGCCAACCCTTCTCCAAGGTAGTCACAGGCCTTCAAGACGATTCCGCCAGCATTCTGAGTTTGGTACATCAGCCAAGGGCCCCAGGTAAGGGTTGACTAAATTTTGAAATAATGAGTTACTGGAATAAAAAAAGTTTAAAAATTTACCGGATCAACTGGCGGCTCCTTGATTTTAGCAGCGTCCACCTCGTAATTGTCCTCATCGTCACTGAACTCCTCGACAATTCCATCACTGCAGTGAATGATCCTGTGCGGTTTACTGATTTTGTAAACGCTGCCCAATCCCTCAGCGGCACACTCGGCTGTGGTTTCGCCCTGTAAAAAAGCTGGACAATTAAGAGGGAGTGCCTCGACTGGTGTATTTTATTCCATGTGTGTGCGTGTCTACTTGATTTTATTACTGTGGTAGTTGTGCATAAAAAAAAGGAACGCAATTAAAGGTGCGCGACTGAGCTGCTATTGCTATTGATTTTTACTGCAGTCAGCACATAAGTTTCTTATCAAAGGCGACAATCTCCACTAATAATAAAACTCTAATTTGTTATACATAAAATTTCACTTTTTAATAGGAACGAAAATTGTGATTTTTATGATTCTTAGTTCAAGTCACTGCAGGAAATTGTTAAAGTGTTAAAAAGATGATAGGACATGCAAAGAATTACTTACAAGCAGTGCACTTACTACAGTAGGTTCAATGGCCTGGTGGGCCACAATCAGATCATCCAATTTCGTCTTTTCGGCCTCGACCACGTCGCCCGTTCCACTCATCTCGTCCATGTCTGATGGTCAAATAAACGGCTGCGCCCTGAATCCACGTGAGTCACTCCGCAGGTGCTGAGAGAATCTCCAATTAAGACGCGCTGCGATTCCACGAAAGAATTATTGCGCGTTTGTTTCTCGAATTACCCAGCAGTTGCTAATCAAAACATTGAGCAATGCGCATGCCCAGTATCACGAGAAAAAATGGGTTCCTTTTTATTTTTATCCTCGTAGGCTGGTGGTGCCTCTAGTGACAGACAATTGAAGTTTTTCGGCGCGGCAAAGGGACAGCTCGAAACAGTTCATTCACGGAATTGTTATGCCAGGTTGCATAGCTATTCAGGCGCACTCTTGCGTTGGGCTGGTGACTTGCCTTCTTAGCTGAGACCTGAGACTGCAAAAGAAAATTTTCTTCAGCTCGCGCAAGCAAGTTTTTCTTTTCTACCAACATTCTCGGCTCTTTCGAATACCTTCCATTCGCTCCCTGAATACATATATGAAATATGATATAATTATGAATATTATGATGGATAAATTATGATAAACAGATAAAGATAATGTTGTTAATTTTTTAGTGTGTTTTTTTGTTAATTTTTAGTGTAGATTTGTGTCGTGTTTGCGTTGTTAAGTGTATTCGTTGAAGAAAGTATCGAATGAAATTGAGAAAATAAATTTGTATGAATACTTGACAATGATTACATTTTAATTATTTTTTATTTTTCTAATTTACATAAAATACAAGAAATAATTTGAAACATCCAATGCAAATTTTCTTTACTTTTAAAATGTTTTTTAATTTGTTGTAGGGGTTCTTCTACTTTTCTTTTGTTATCTTTATTTCAAATTTTTATTCATTATTTATTCAAAGAGGATCATTATTACCGATTATTACCTTTAAAAAAAATATATTTCTAGTAATTGAGTAAGTTCATAATTAATCATTAAATTTGGTTCATTTATTTTTTATTTTGACCGATTCAACTAACATTTTTATAAATAAAAATAATATTGAAATGACATGACATGTGTAAGTAACATGTTCAATTATTATTTATTATATTATAAAATATGCAGCATAATATGTGTGTTTTTTTTTACCTTGCATGTTTGTCTTACAGATTGATAAAAAAAAAAGAGTTGCATGCATGAAAGTGGAAGTAAAAGGTGATAATTATTCAGTTTTATTCACTGTATAGTAAAGAAGGGAACTGGCCAGCCTTTCAACTTAGCATATGTTAACTATTATAGTATTATAGGGTATATAATATGACGTAATTAAGCGTTATCAGAAGCAATCAAAAGGAAAGATGTTCTTCTCTTCACAAACATGTGCCGAGGGTTATTCGCGTGCTCCCTGTTTCCACCCCTCAATTTTTTTCAGCGTTTGTTGGCTTCTTAAAAAACGCACCTGCTCATGTTTACAGGCGCAATACAAAAGAATCGAAAAGCTCTTTGTCAGTAATTTTTAAATAACTTAATCCTTTAAACTTTTTAATAAAAATCGATTACAAAAAAATTGCCTAAAAATGTTGTTTCAATTATTTAGATTTTGCTGCAAAATTTAATAAATACACAAAAGTTTAAAAGGCAATTAAGCTGTATTTTCACAATCAGGGCTATAAAAATGGTGAAATTTATGCGATAAACTTTTAAAATTATAATGGCTGTAAAATTTGCACCTTTCTGCCTATTTTCTTTTCATATCTTCCCAAGCACCACAGTTTTAACAATTATTAAGCAATTATGACACACCAATGAATTTGAAAAATATTAATATTGAATGTGCACATTTCTATTGCACGTGAGCACTAAGTGCTGGGTGCATTTTTCACCGTGCTGACCAAGAAGTGCATATAATTGCACGCAGCAATTTAATCCGCTGCCATCATCAATTTGGTGAAATAAAAACGCCGGTGCACCCAGTGTCCAGCAGTAGTCATCAGAGAGAGCTCTGCAGAAGATGGCTTGCAGAACCTCAGCATTCCTGCTGGCCTTGTGCCTTCTTGGGGCCTTCGCCGAAGAAAAAGTCGTAAGTTTGACAAAATTTTATTCTATAGATGAATAATTTCTAAAAATCAGAAATTTGTTTCTCGCGCTCAGTTTCTGAATCCAAAATTTCTTTTACAATATATTTCTTACCTTCCCCTTATTCATTCTAATTATTTTGAAATTCTTGTTGCATTGAGTCAAAATTTAATTTATTTTTTTCTTAACAGAAAACTGCAGAAGAGTCTCCTGAACTCAAGCGCGTCGAGAAGAGCGCTGGCTACGGAGGTGGCTATGGCGGCGGCGGCGGCTATGGCGGAGGTGGCTATGGAGGCCATGCTGCTGGAGGCTATGGCGGTTCCGCCGGCTACGGTGGTCACGCTGCTGGCGGCTACGGCGGCTCTGGAGGCTACGGAGGTGGTCACGGAGGCTATGGTGGCATGAGCAGCGGCTATGGAGGCCATGCTGCTGGAGGCTATGGCGGTTCCGCCGGCTACGGTGGTCACGCTGCTGGCGGCTACGGCGGCTCTGGAGGCTACGGAGGTGGTCACGGAGGCTATGGTGGCATGAGCAGCGGCTATGGAGGCCATGCTGCTGGAGGCTATGGCGGTTCCGGTTACGGTGGACACGCTGCTGGAGGCTATGGAGGCATGGGAGGATACGGAGGTGGCCACGGAGGCTATGGCGGAGGTGGCTATGGAGGTCACGCTGCTGGAGGTTACGGCGGTTCCGGATATGGAGGCCATGCTGCTGGAGGCTATGGAGGCATGGGAGGATACGGAGGTGCCAAGGGAGGATATGGCGGCGGCGGCTATGGCGGACACGCTGCTGGAGGCTATGGAGGCGGCTATGGTGGACACGCTGCTGGCGGTTATGGCGGTTCCGGCTATGGAGGTGCCAAGGGAGGATATGGCGGCGGCGGCTACGGCGGACACGCTGCTGGAGGCTATGGCGGTTCTGGCTATGGTGGACACGCTGCTGGAGGCTACGGAGGCGGCTATGGTGGTCACGCTGCTGGAGGCTATGGCGGTTCTGGCTATGGTGGACACGCTGCTGCTGGTTACGGAGGCGGCTATGGTGGACACGCTGCTGGCGGCTATGGCGGTTCCAGTTACGGAGGTGCCAAGGGAGGATACGGCGGCGGCGGTTACGGCGGACACGCTGCTGGAGGCTATGGCGGTTCTGGCTATGGTGGACACGCTGCTGGAGGCTACGGAGGCGGCTATGGTGGTCACGCTGCTGGAGGTTATGGCGGTTCTGGCTATGGAGGACACGCTGCTGGCGGCTATGGCGGTTCCGGCTACGGAGGTGCTAAGGGAGGATACGGCGGCGGCGGCTACGGCGGACATGCTGCTGGAGGCTACGGAGGCGGCTATGGTGGTCACGCTGGAGGCTATGGAGGCGGATACGGTACTGTGAGTTCTCTAATTAATTTAATTAAACTTACTCTGCTTTGTGTTCAGGCGCGCCGGTATCTAGCTATGGAGGTAAGGGCGGCTATGGCGGCGGTGGATACGGCGGCAGCTACGGCGGCGCCAAAGGAGGTAATAGCCCATCTTACAACATTCAGTATAACGTGCCCTATAAATATATGGACCTGCAAATTGGTTCCAAGCATAGTTACATGATTCAATCTCACTACGCTCCTGTCCAAGTAAAGTCTACTTACTCTTCAGGCTACGGTAGCAGCGGCGGATACTAAACCGCACCACAAGACTCATGGATCCCGGTGACAAATGACTGACGCAACGACTGGACAGCACCAGAGGGTGAGTTCATCACTTTTTAATTTATATTTTTATATTATCTCCTTAGCAATGTAACTGTAGTGGAGTGAAATCCTGTGCGCGCTGCGTGTTATTCCCTCTGAATTACACGTTGGTAGCGATTCTCATGGTTTTACAGCTGTTCATTTTCTTCGCTTCTGCTCCAATGCTGTTTTTTGTTTGTTTCAGATGGCTTTCAACTGATGCTGAAAACACTCACGCAACCAACAAAACCCCAGTAGTTTATAGCACCTAAACATAATTGATGTAAAATTTATTTTGTGCTCCCTGCCATTATTTTCTCATCAAAAATTGTTACATTTTGTATAGACTGTTTTGATAATAAAATTTGCAATTTTTGTAGAAAATACAAATTTTTTTGTTTACTTTGGAAATCATTCGAATATATGTTTTTGAATTTTTAAAACGGTATCACATATTTTCCCTTGATATATGAATAGATATCAAATTATATTTTGGAAACTTATGCAATAAAAAAAGTTAAATTGCAGACTCCAACTTCACAGCTCACTTTCATTGATTTCAAAATCGTTGGAAAACGTTATAAATTTTAAAATTGATTAATTTGAAAGATAGTTGTGCTATATTAGTTTATTAGTTATTTGTAAGACTTCATTCGTTCAACTTTTTAAATAGATCTGATTTTTTTTCAAATAATTTTATTTATTTATAACTTCTATCTGATTCGTATGAAATTTTAAAATTAAATATCTCAGCAAAAGGATTTTTAATTTCCTGCACTGTGTATTTATGTATTATCTTATGAATTAAAACAGGTACTAACTTGCACCTCTCTTCAGGCATTTTTTTTTTAATTATTGATATTGATTATAGTTTTAGGAGTTGGCAAAACTGTTAATTAAAAATGGATTTAATTAATATCAAAAGTGAGACATGAGTAGATTGAATAGAATTAACAAAAATACACACATTTTAATAAGAATGTTTTATTATTAAAACAGTACCTAATTTAAAAGAATCAGTTAAACTTAAAGAGCCTTGAATTAAAAACCAAATAAATATAAAAATTTCATAAAAAAAAATATACATTATATTTTTTTATGTTTTGAAATATTATTTATTTTGCTCCAAAGAAAGAAATTCTCCATGTTTTATTTATTTAAAGTTGGTTTGTAATATTTCAGAATTTTATTTTGTTTCACCTCATGGATTTGGCTCTGCTCTGCGCACTGTCATTGAAACCGCATCATAAGCACCTTGGGGGTCAAAGTTCTCACTTTGCCAGGTAAGCGTTAAAATTCTCATTGCCGCAGCACCGCGCGTCCAAACACCTAATACAAGGTGCCTATTCCATCTGAAGCTGGTGAAAAAAACTCGAGCAAAAACAGACGTCAAAATGAAGAGACAGCGTTTTAAATTCGAGAGGATTTCTCATATTAGACATGGTAAAGTGGAGTCCAATTTTTCCCTTGGTTTTTATACTGCCCGTGCGAGACGATTATAAGTCAGGGATGCGTTTTCTCTTGGCCGCCGAGCTAGAGCTGTGATAGCCAATGGAAAATTTCAAGCTGCCGCGCCAGCAGTTCATTGTCGTCTGCAGAATAAAAAGTCTAAAAAGATGTGACAGAATCAATCAAGACTTCGTCCGAATCGATGGCCACCAGATGTGATTTTTAGCATTCGCGACTCGTACGTCGCATTAAACGGCTTTTCTTGCTGCATGTTGATGGCTTTTTAAAATAAAGACAAAGAGCTATTTTTGGTCGCTTTTTGGAATCGACGGAAATTATCATCGGGCAATGCGCTTTATGATCAAGCTGTCAATTGCCTCTCTCATTTGCACGAAAAGCGTGATTTCAAAACGCTTTATTCCAGTACCAAACATTATTCCAGTGGCGTAACAAACCGAATATAATTATCCAAATTAACAATTAAAAATCTGAATGTGTATAAAAATTAATTTTTAATTTAAAAACAAAAAATAGAAATTTTACAAACTTGTTTGCTTTAGTATTTAATAAATTAATTTGCTTCAATGCGGCATAAAATTTTAGTAATATATATAAAAACACTAATTATTCTTTTAACTTTTATTGCTTGTGTGATTTAATTCTTTGTGTAGATTTTTCACCTTAATTTACTCCACAAGCATTTAATAGACCAACAACGTATTAATTTAACCACACATAAGTGATCAGCTTTTTTTGTAATTATCCGCCCATATAAGCAGCTGGGCGTCGACTTAACCGTGAACGCTACTTGTATTAAATAGCATCAACATTCTTATTGTTCGCGGCTATTGTGTGTATTGATGCCGCCACTGACAGCCGCTTGATATTCTTCGTTTTAATAAAATGCAAACGCATTTTGCATAATAAACAAATGCTGGACGTCAATCGGTTCCCAGCACATTGCAAATATGTATTAATAAATACGCGCCTTGTTGCATTGTTGTTCGCTCAATATATTATTTGTGATTCCGCAGTGCATGTGGGAAATCTGACGCCGCGTGTAACTGAATATTGCTCACGACGAAGCGGTGACCGGGAGGAAAAAATTGTGCTGCACACGCTATATCAGAAAAATAATGCCTTGGTAATTAATGATGCAAAGGCCACACATTTTAGTGTGGTCAGACGCTATTAGATCTCTCGAGCGCTATTTTCCTTTCACCTTGCCCGCACGCCGAAATAGAATTCATAATTTTTTTGCGCACTTGTCCTTTGAACCCGATCCAATTAGCCGTTTTTTGATCCAGCACTCACCTGAGAGAAAGCAAAATAAATTAGTGCGCCCGCTTATGCAGAATCAATCTCTAAAGCAATGCAAATTATTTTCTCCCGTGGCCCAACTTGGTCACTTCAAAACAGATATGGACTTCAGGCATTAATCTTGCAGGCGTATTTAAAAACTTTTCCCGTTAATTAATGCCCACGTGGATGTATCTTTCATTTCTTTTGTTATTAATTTGACCGAAAGAAATTGCAAATCGCCATTCACTGCAATTAACCTTTTTAGTTTTTGCTCTGCAGAAGCGTGTGATCGCCATTTGTTTGTTGCTTGGAATTTATAAGCAATGTCAAAATATATCTATTGAAAATTATAACTGTTTCTCATCTGATGATGATGATTAATACTTACATTTAACACCAATTAGCAATTTATCATGCTCGCAAGGAAGAATTAAAATTTTTCAGAAATTAATGACATTTATTATAATTAGCTTTGTATACTTTTTAATCAATCTATAAGTTGAAAAAATAAAATTATAAAAACGGTTTATCTTGTTGAAATTAAAAGATAACTAAAAAAGTGACACGAGGTTTTTTCATACTATTGGGTCACTTGACCTTCTATTTTTTCATGAAATCCAAACCAAGTGTTTACTTTCAAAATGAATACATAATAATACAATATCTATATTATGTAGTCATATTTTTTACATTAAATATTTACTTCAACATTTATATGATGATTTATACACTTGAAGTTAAGATTCTGTATTGAAATAATATGCTGCTTAATTAATTTGACATACACTCAGAAAAATTTCTACTTTATTTCAGTTGAAAGTAACTCGTTTCAAGAGTTAAATTTGCCTCAGTTCAAGATATTTGTTCTTTTTACCGAGCAGCAGTAAGTTGGAAATTGTTAGACTATTACTCGTTGAATTTTACCTAGCAGCGCGGCTAGAATAACACAGCGCCAAAAAACAAACCAGTCAGAGAAACTAAGCTCTTGATTTCGGCTAGGTTCATTTTACCGAGCGCGTTCAGCTAGAATTGCAGCAGGTCAGCAGAGCCTCTCGGTTGATCTTACTTTGATTTACAGCTGTTTTTGCTGCTTATTTTCAGTTTGATACTACTCTTTGCATTCAGGTAGAAATAACCTGGTTTTTATCTGTTCCATTTAATACTTCCCATTTAGTTTATCTGCACATCAAAAGTACTTACACTTTTTGTAACAGAAACATAATTTTTGTTACAAAAAGTGAGTGCTTTGATAGCAGACAAAATAAAATGCAAGGTATACATCAGTGGAACAGAAAAATAGAGTTATTCGTCTGAACTATAAACTTATAAGGAAAATATAGGAATAAATTGAAGTAAATTCAAGTTTTAAACAAAATTTTTTTATTACCATAATTACTAATTGTAGGTCGCAACAGAACAAATTTATGAGGACAGTATGGTGAAAATTGTACTTACAAAATCAGTAATTTGGAACGTATAATGAAGCACTTATGGCCGAAGATCAAGTATCCAATTGGCACGGCAAACATAGCTGATGAACTTAATACAAACTGCAGCAAACAAGCACTTAAAATGTTCAAAACAGAAAAATCTTCTGTGGGGAGCCAAGCTGAATTCGTTGTGCGGAATCTTCCTACTTCCAACAGCAAAATTTTCACAGGGCAGGCGTGCAGACGTTGCATCTCCTTTAACACAGAAATAAATATGTTTTTATTAATATTTAGACAACAATTGGAATTTTATATTCTAACTTACATTGGTCAGTGATTTTGACCCAGGGTGCGCAGATTTACTTCATGATTGATGGAATTCCTTTTCCACCACGGCATAGACCAAGACATAATATATCTCTGAAAACATTTTGCAAAGATTTAATCACAATTATATCGCTCGTTCCGGGCTGAAGCTGCTATATTTCCAAATATAAGCTTCAAAAATGTACTTACAATTTGGTTTTGGCACTGCTGGTTCCAGTTTTATTCCATAATTTGCAGAAAACTTGCAATTTTAGAGAGCGCCAGGCACTGCTAGATGTGGAGTCTTCCATGATCACGCTTGTAATGACGCTTTCCAGTAAGCATTTTTCAACATGGCGTCAAAATTTGCTTTTTTACACAGTTATATTAACTCATATTCGGTGAAATTTACCGAGCGCCTCAGCTAAAAAGACATACAGACGCGCATAGCTGGAGCACTTTTACCGCGCTGAGCAGTTAGAATGACCAACTGCTTTTCTAAAAGTGTTGCTCGCGCTGGAAATAAAATCGAGTAGTCCTTGCAGAAAGAAGTTCATGAGTTTAAAATTAATTCAAGATGCAATGACGGCCGGTAAAAATTTTAAAATAATTTTTTTTAAATCATTACAAAAAAATGTTTCTCTGCTATATTAGGAGCATTAGAATGCATAAATATAAGTTTATATGTCTTAAATAGATTTTTTCATGTTGATTTATATTGAAAATCCTAAATTAAGTGCATAAAAGTTAGTCGGAAAAAACTAGTGATGAAGTATAGTGTAGATAAAAAAATTACAATTTTTTTTGAAACATTTTCATGAGCCTGCCTTGGTTCTGTTAACTGATATTAATAAATTTACAAAAAGTAAGATAAATTTTCACTTCTCTTGGAGATTCAAAATCGGCCATTCGCGCCAAACTTTGAGGTTTTTTTTACTGATTTGACGAGGTTAAGTGCCAAGCAGGCTTTTTTCAGTTAATTTAAACTCGCTTCTTTTATGTTGCTTTTACCTGCTTGAAAGAGCTAGGTTTCGTTTTACTTAGCAATACGCGGTAAAAAGTACTACATAACAACGCAAACAGTTCGGCAGGGTGGCTCCGCGTTTCATGTAACATACTCGTGCTCGGTAAAATTTATCCTTTTGGTCAACCAAGAATATTCTAGCTGGAGCGCGCGCGGTAATTCTTACTGCTGCCGCTCAACTAGCACACATGTAACAGTGGAAATGAGTAGATGTTACCGAGTGAGGGAGCTGGATTTTCCAACTGATGTGTGATTCGAGCCACTCGGTAAAAGTAACATTGTGCGTGGTTGTTTTGAATTAAAAAAATCAGTAGATATGAATGAATTACAGTTAAAGGTGCTCTAACTGAGTGAATTCTGTATTTATTTTTCTGAGTGTACTAAATAAATATTGTGCTCTATGCATATAGTTATGAATAGATCTATAGCTTAAAATATTAATTAAAAATTTTGTGCCAAATTTTATATCTCTATTTGAAACTTAGATGTTAGTTCTACTGGTTAGTGTCATGTAGTCGATAAGTCAAAACAGTAAGCATTTTTAATTTAAAAATTTTTATCTGATGCGGAGTCTTTGAAATACTGAAAATGCTTAATCTATAATTATACTTGAAAAATCTTTCTGGCGCAGACGAAAATAATTTTTTTTTTCCAGATTAATATTGATATCAAACTGAAAGGCAGAATTTTTCATGTGAATTCTCCTACACTCGAAATGAATGTGCCCCCGAAAAGCCTTTTTTTATCTCAAATAAACATGAAGACATCGTTCTAATGTCACACGCTTAAAAGGTGCGAAAAGTTCACATGCCGCGAGCGATTCTAAACCAAAATTCGCAGTTATATCGGCGAGATTTATGGAAACGGGTACTGGCATACGCATCAGGATGTGAGAAAAGGGTTGAATTATTATGTGTGAAATGCGCCGAGGGCATTCAGCGGCGGCAAATTGTTGTGAGACAGCCGGTGCATTATCTCCCAGAATGAAAATGATAATGCGCGAAAATTGATACGCAGACGAGGCATTAAATTAAAAGCCCGTCCGTCGCCCGGGGTCAAAATCGGAATCGATTACGCGCCAATGGAAAAGGAGCAAAGGTTTTTATTCGCAAGAATAAGAACAATAAAAAAAATTAAATTAAAAATCTCGGTACGGCACGCAGGAGTCGAACAAAGCCGCAAGCCTCAAAGTTATTATTTTAATAAAAAAATCAGGCCTGGTCGGCGGCGCTGAGACACATAATAGGTGTGTATCCTTTTATATAATCCTTGAATGAAAATTCACAGCACACACAGACACACACACACTGGGTGCCGTGGGGATAATGTGAGCGCCAGACCAACATCATTTAATTTCATCTTCGCCAGGAGGAGGATGAGTAAGAGCGGTGGAGAGATGAAGCATTATTGTGATTGGTCCAGAGAACAAGTTGTTCGACTTCTTCTTGCTGCCGTCTCGCGGGAGGCTCGCAGTGTAGTGAGAGTAATGGCCCTGAGCGTTGCAGAAGGTACCCCTGCTGCTGTTTAGTTGGTTCTCTCTTCTGTCAGTTGGCTGCTGCTGCTGCTGCTTCCTCCTCTCGCCTCTCAGTTGCTTGTTGTTTTCGAACCGCGGCGGCCGGATTTTTCGCTGATGCGAGTGCCCGTCGCGCCGAACTGGACCGCCCGAGGGTGGTGTTAGTGCGTGGATAGTTTTTTTTTACACCGGGGGTTGCGTCGCCACCCTCTGCACTTTTGTTCCGAGTGAGATGCCGTGACAAACACGCACCATGCAAATGATGAGAAAACATCATTTTGCCAATTGCTACCAGACCCTCTGCTTCTACCTGTTGCTTCTTCTACTCATGATCTCCGAGCACAAGGTTCGTATTTCATTCTTAAATCTGATAAGAAAAAATTACGCCGGTCCCCCGGGGCCCAGAGTGTTTTTAATGGGCGTTTTATTGGGGCCGCCTCAGGGCCCGGCGCTCGCTCGCGTTTCATTCTGCTTGCGTTTTGTTTATTTCGAAGGAATTATTAAGTGCTGACGGTCAGCAGCTCTTTTCTTGAATCAAACCTCGCTTCTGCACGCTACTGTTTTTCTGCTTAATCTGGTTGTTTTTTTTTTCTTCACCCAAGCCCTTTCGTTATTTTATTATTAATTTGCCGCGCGGCGGCGGCACCTAAATTTTTTTTCCGTCTCTTCTCATTCACGAGAGATCGTTCGATCGCGTTTTTCGTTTTGTAATCCGATTTCCACGAAACTGCTCCTGATAATTAAGAGCCGTTAATTTCGATTCTTTTCAGTGGTTGGCTCTTTTAATTAATGGTTGGTGCGAAATTTCCTCCGTCCGAGAGAGATGGAAGCGCGGTCACTTTGGCGGAAAGGATGGATGCACGCAGCAACTTATGGTTAGGGTTAATTGCACATCAATTAGGCACACGGTTTTTAAGCTCTCTCAAAACAATGAAAGAGGCTGCGAATATTTTCCGGTTTTGCCTTTCTGCGTTTGCAATCGGTTAATTATACCGCAATTATTTTATCATGCTGACGGTTGGGGAAAACAAACCAAAACTATTGGAACAAACAAATCGCACAAGAAAATTAATCAAAGTAAATTTATAATTATTTAATAATAATAATTAATTAGTAAGCAGTTGATTAAATTTAATATAAGAAAAAAAGTTCTTTTTTTTCAAAATTAAATTTGCATCTCTGCTCACAGTTTATCTGCAATGAATTTTGCGCATCAGTCGCTTAGATTACCGTCAAGCCTTGTTTATTTATCTCCAGTGTAAGCAAAATTTCATAATCCTCTCTTTAATTCAGTCGTGTCAACCGGCGTTTGCTGGTCGCCGTCATAAACTTTCTCATATACAGGGCCTATTTTTATTGAAAAGCAAGCACGACGATATAAACCTCGGCGCTGCACCGAGATGCACCTGTGCAGAAGAAAGGACAATATAAGTGCAGATATTTATTACTCCCGGTGCCATCCAGCACACACGGAGAAATAAAAACCTGGCACAGTCATGCACAAATAAAACGCTGCACGCCGCGACTTCTGCCCAAGCGCGACTTTGAGCATAAAATCGCACACCGCACTCTCTGCAATGAGTGCCCGATTAATTATTCTCCGAGTTTTCCACGAGACGCGACTTATGAATTAAAAAGAAGCAAACAACAATACCGCTGCTTTTCACATTGACTATGCATAATTGAAATGTGCGTTTATAAATAAAATGATATGAATGGTTGGCAGCCGCTTAATTTTTTGATTAACTTGAATGGCTTCCTGCTGCAGCATAAATTGCACAAAATGCAAATCACACACACGCTGCTTGCTTGATGCGACTCGGCGCTGCTGAGAGAGCTACGCGATGACATGAAAGGATGGCAATGATATGGAGATATCAACACATAATACGTGTGACCATTCATTTCCTGTTCAACACACATATACACTGTATGACTGGGCTGGCTGAAAGAGTTAGGCGCGTTCGTCTGCTGCGAGCCGATTGTGTCCCATTCTATGCAACTTATCCCATAAATTTGTCCTTTACAAATTCGCCTCTTTGTTGGTTTTGCGCAGCTCGGTTTGTTTCGAAAGTTTGTAGTGAGATCAGCACCATCGTAATTAGCAAGTTCAAAATTAAAAAAAAAATTTGATTTGAATGAAAAAGTTACTCGGAAAACAAACATGCTTTTTCATTTCCACAATGATTGTTTTTCAGTGTTTTGTGCGTTCTAAATTATTATGAAAAATTTAATTGCAAAAGTTAAAATGTATTTTTTTTTTTTATAAATAAGCAATAATTTCAAAAAAAAAAAAAAGAAAAGAAAAAGTTTCTATTAAAATCATTTAATGATTTTGACTCCGATTGCGCTAAAATGCGAAATGATCACGCGCCAATGGTGGAAGTATGACCTTTCAAAATTAGTCACAAGGATACTATATTAATTTACAAAATTGTATTGTTGCAGCACTTTGAGAAATGTTAACCAAATCTCTTTGTCAAACTATTTAGTCTCTAGCAAGTTCTGGTTAATTTCGGGCGTGACAAATTTTCGTTTGAACAGAGTCTAAAACGCTACGGGGCCAACTTCAATCGAGCCGCGACTAATCGAGCAAAAATTAGCATCAGAAGTAATTCACGAGTACACAGTGACAGCAGTCTCGACTCTCGGCGGTTCAGTCTTTCTTTCTCTCTTATATACTCGGAATTGTATTTGCCCGATGCATTCACATAAAAGCGAGCGAGCCGGCCAACTTTCACCTCACTCACTCAGCATCATCTCTTGCCAATTGTTAAATACCGTTCAGCAGATGAGCAGCAGAAATGAAATAAAAAAAATCTGCGAGCGATCTGCCTCGAGTGCTGGAACCTCCAATTAATTTCCAGCTCGGATTGCTGCGTTGGCAGGCGTAAGATTTATTAGCAAATGAAATTAAAATGCTTAGCCCGGTCGCCGCGGCGTGCACTTTTTTGCCCAAATTGGCCTCTTTATTGTCTAATCAATTATTTTGACAACCGCGTATTTTCCAGTCTGAAAAAGATAAGCTTTTTGGCAGCAACCCATCCATTTATGCCGAGCGCAACGATTTTTTTCTGCGCCAAATTGCTGCCGCGCCACTCTCTTGATGGTCGTTTTTGATATATAAAAACACCATAGATTAAAAGGAAGCAAAAAGCGCATTGTTTTTCTTTCCCATTTTCTCTAAACGACCACCAGATTAATTGAATTGTCTGGGTGCTCCTCAAATTTAATTGGGCCCTCGATTGGGCCATTGTTCGAAATGCAGAATAGGCGGAAGGGCTTTGCTGATTATTTTTTTGTATTCAGCCAGCACCATACTTGAGCAATCCAGCAGCCGATAGCAATGAACTAAGATTGCACAGAGGAGCCACGCAGCTTCCGGTGCTATCTTTTTTTTATGTAGTTAATCTAAGACCTTGTCCCGAAATAGAGAGAAAAGAGAGTTGGCGCGCCGCTCTCGTCTGCGCGCGGATTATTGGGCAGACAATGAGCAGGAACAACTGACTTGTTCGATCGATATCGCTCCTTTGTGTTTTTTTGAGAGAATATAATGCACGATGTAACGCTCAATTTTCAGTCATGCGAGGTTGCGCATCACTCGAAATTGCCCGCCGTGAAAAGGTTCAGACCTGTCATGCGATGCCATGATTTTTTTTATAACAATCGGAGTTGTATATGAATTATTTTGTTTTTCATTGCTCAATTTACTTCTGGAGATCTTTTAAGTATTTCCAAAAATTCAAAATAAAATTATACTTTTTATTTTTTTATTTATCATTTTTTTCTTTTTTAAATTAAATTATGTGATTTGTACTGATTGCTATTGAAAATTTTTTAATTTGAAATATTTTATTAAGGTAACTCTCTAAATTATACTTATTAACACCACAGGAAGTGAATCATAATATGATTACTGAAATTTGTGCTGAATTAAATTTGATTTTTGTTAATATGAAATGAAAATTTGTTACAATAAATAGAAAAAAAACATTTAAATTTTTTCAGGTTTCCTTACTTTTAAATATTTAAATCAAATTTTCCTTATGGGACCCATTTATAAAAAGTTATAAATAAATAATCAGCGAAAATATTAAAAATTAAATTGATTCACAATATTACTAAATATTCATGATAAACCCAGTAATTAAAACTGTACGTCAGCATGAAAATTTAATTTAAGGCATCAAAGAAAGCTTCGGTGTCAAAATCGGCGCCCGCCAAACGGCGCCAAAGAGAAATTGATCGTCTGCCGCGACACTCGACAATAATTGCTCTCCGCACATACGAGCAAAAATGCACCGGCGTCTGCTGAAAATACCCGACCATTAATGAAGCGAGCGCCGCTTTAACTGGACCAACTTGAACTCTGAACAAACGCGGCCTGCGACACGTGTTGAAAGAATCAGACGTCGCTCGGCCTGAAATAGCATTAAAGCCTTTTTTTGCAGTTTTTTCCCGAGGCAGCGCGGCGTGAGAAAAAAATTGGCGGCGCACCCTGCGATGAGTCCACTTGGATCCGATTCAATAAGACAAGTCGCGCGCTACGTGCTGCTGCATGTTTGACAGGCGCGCTTTTTATTTAAAGATATTCCCGCGGATCGCGGCGCATTATGAAAAAATGTCCTCTGGCATTTTGCAGAGAGCCAAAAGTGCCGCGCCAACCCCGAACAGTGCCCCCGGGCGCGCTTTAATATCACCGTCGTGTGCGGCTCCTCGTCCGCTGCCGTTCGCCCATCTTTTCGGCGCATAATGGGACACTTTGAGGGCAATTTCGAGCCACCGTGAGACACAAAGAGTACTTCAGTCAGAGAGCAATTTCGGTCTGGTTGAACATGAAGGGAGAGGAAGAAAATTCATAATAATTGCAAAGTCTATTTTTTTCACGTAATGAAATTCTAATTTAAAATACTTTCCGAATTTCTTTGCAAAATTTTGGAATATCCTATTTTTAACGGGAATAAAGTAAATTAATCTATAAATTATTTATTATTTAATTTCCCAAGCAGTGTTTGATTTTCGTAATTTCATTCGCGTCCTGTTCTTGTGTGTGACAAATATGTGTGAGAAGTCTGTTGGTGATGGAATTTTGCGATGCTTCACAGGGCGTGCTGAGTTCGGGCTACTTCGAACTTCAAGTCCTGTCCATGGTAAATCATCGTGGCGAGCTCAAGAATGGAGACTGCTGTGGTGGTGAGCCACGCGAGAGGCATACTAATGCGTGCCATCTCCAATGCCTCACATACTTCAACGTTTGTCTCAAAGAGTATCAAAGCAACGTGACGTCAACGGGGGCCTGCTCCTTTGGCTCCGTGGACAGCCCGCCCCTCGGGGGCAACTCCTTCACCTTCTCCGACCCCGCAAGATCTCAAACCAACCTCGTCCTTCCGTTTACCTTCAGATGGACGGTAAGTGATCCACTTTTGATTGTTGTTTTCTCTTATCCTTTTTTTAATTTGCCACTTTGAGGAGTACGTGATCATGCAAAATTGACCTAGCTTTCGGCGCGTTTAATAAGCTAATCGCTTATAATTGAATGTTTTAAACTTAATTCGAGCGTGAATATAATTTTTTTTAATTTATACGTTAGGTTTTAAAGAAGATTTTTTCGTGAAATTATAATATGGATAATATGTAGATAATATAGAAATCAGATAAGGAACTTTTGGTAATTATAATAATTAAACTTTTTTAGGTTCACTGCTGACGTTAAAATTAAAAAAAAAAAATTGTATTTACAAAAATTTTAAGATTCTTTAGAAACATATTTGAGGCGCAAATCTCATTTTGCCGAGTTAACTTTTTTGTATTTTCTATTTTATGTATTAAAGAGGACGTTCATATAAAAATGTTAGTTTAAGTACGCAAGAACGATTCAGGTCGTGTACTCTCAGAAACTGACCTTTTGCCATTTTTTATCCATCGGGTGAAAGCAGAGTTTGTCCCATGCGAGCACGACTGGCTGCTGCCGGTGGAGCCCATCTTCATTTAATGACTTCCAAGCGGCACTTTTTGTCACCCTGAATCATTAATTTCACTCTCGCCGCGGGCATTCCGTGCGGCGAGACGCGCTTTTTTTTCTTTTCGCAGAGCGATCAAATAAATGTCAAAGCACAATTAGTTGATTTGTGCTCGTCAGGGTCCCATGCTCGCTCATTGTCCCAATTCTGCACGCTCAGCATCGTGTGTATGTACGTACGTGTGTCTGCGCTCGGCATCTTATTATTTTCTCCTCCGCCTCCGCTCTCTTCGAACGGACACAGACGGACTCAAATATATACAGATGCTGCTGTTTATTATTCGCGTGTTTGGAATTTTCTTTGCTCGGCGCGCAGCACAATAATTCACGTGTGCTCTCTCGCATGTTTTTGTTGATGCTCGGCCGCATGGAGCCGCCGCGCGCGTGAAAAGAAAGTTGAAAAAAGTAGTGTGTTGTATGCTCAAAATGTGCTGTGTGGCGTGTATGTTTTTGTTAAAAAAAAGGAAACAAGCAGCAACAGCAGCAGGAATAGCAACCATAAGAAAATGAGGCGACTCGAAAAAGAAATTGCGCGAGACGCCTGCTAATATTGCTCGATTCGTTACGGTCCCGAAGGCGGTGCTGCGGAATCTGCTATAGCTGAATATTCATGAGAGGGCGAAAACATACACAAATTTCGCAAATGTGCACAAATTGAGCGGCCGCAGCGCGCGCGGCGACGGGTCTTGATCATGCTTGCTCTCGAGAAAGGAGACGATTTTTTTTCATCAACGCCAAGCGGAACACTTTGAGCGCGTATAAGGAAAGACGTCGTAAAGATCGGATGTTATGGGCTGTTAAATTTTCAAACCACAAAGATCCTGCTTGAAGTGGGCAGGTAATTTTGCGTTTAATCTAAACTTAGAATTTCGCTTTGGTCGCAATAATATGAAAAAAATTCTACGACTCCTTAAAATTTTCAGCACCAGATGAGTTTCTTTTGTCATTCTTAATCCTTCAAACACGAAAGTAAGAAGATATTAGGAGGATGAGTTTAATGAAAAGAGGATGATGAGAGACATTTTTTAAAATATTTATTTTTAATCGGTTTTGTCTCATGTCAGAAGGGTTTCAAAGTTTTCATAAAATAAAAAATTAGCTTGAAAATATAAAAATTTAAATTTAAAAGCAATAAAAATTAATTTTTTGAAATTATTGATGTTATTGTAAATTAATCATTTTTAATTTTAATATAATAATCAAGATTTATCAATTTAATTTACATTTTATTTTTTTTAAATTATTTCATAAATTTTAAGTTAGTTATAAATTTAATATATTAAACAGATTATATTTAGCCTTTTGCATATACACTTCTTTAACAGTTTAAAAATAACTGGTTGTCTTCTCAATACAATATTAACTTTTTTAATGAAGATTTATTTATATTATAAATAAATTTGTTGATAGGGAAATTATTCTTATTTCAATAATTATTCAATTTTTAAAGCCATCAGGAGGCTATTAAGTTGCTAATTACAAGCACCGTTTAAGTCAAATAACAAAAGACCTCACATAGCAACGATCAGAAGCAGCAAGGGACATCTTTCCACCTTCCTATATACCCGGCGAGAGGAGTGCGCGCAGATACATATTATATAAATATAAAAGGCATAATCTAACAAAGGCTGAATGCGCTTGCTTTATACCGTGAGCTGATAAGCTGTTATGTAAACTTTATACTCGTCGTTATATATAGCAGCGAGTGAGCGGCGTGTGAAGCTAAATAACTGGAGGTATTTCAGGGATCGGTCATGTTTGGTTAAAGCATTTTTCTTCTCTTGCGCGCATCTCATTACCTGAAAAATCAGCCGCGCGCAGAGAGCGAGCGGACAGCGTTTTTCGCCAACCCAGCCAACCTTCAGACGGCGAAAATATTTTCCCTTCGCTTGTTTTTAAAAACCCACATGAAGAGCCGAATTTATTTCAGCCCAATAATCCAATCGTGCAATTTATTCCTACATTTACCAAGAAGAAGAAGAAGAAGAAGCGGCAGCTCGACCAAGGCGAATAACCGTCCGTATATTTTTCTGTTAAGAATATTTATCCTCGGCTTGCTGAACCTTCTGCTGTCGGCTGATTTCGAATTCAATATCAAATGACAGTGCAAATTTGCACATGCTGTGCCGCAAGATGCATCTCATGGACTAATGCACCATTCATGAGAGCAGTTCATGATCGATAATATCTTTTCTGCTGCCAGCCAGCTAGCCGGCCGTGGTAAATTATTTGCCTAATTTATTCATTGTGTTTTTCTCGCAGTCGCCGAGATTTTTGCTCCAAACTGGGCAGCAGGTTATCGTCCCCAGTGCAGGAAGCACTGCTCGCTCTATCTCGAAAACCTTTTAAATCCGAAAAAGCAGGAAAGTACACGCATCTCCAGCTCAATGGCGCCGGCGACTTTTCTCCCGCGAGAGATGAATCAGGCGTGCAAAAATGGCATAAACCAGTTAGCGCGTCAAATGTTATAAAATTCGCGTGTATAAAAATATCGTTAAAAAAAATGGAGTACATGCGCCGCTTTCGCGCCTCGCCGGCAAACGAATTCATTATTCAAATTGAGCGTGGGACGTGCGGCTGCTCCTAAAAAGTCCGCCTTTTGCGCCGTTCCATTTAATTTCTCTGGTCGTGCGGAGCATCATCGCAGTACATGCGCGAGATACATATTCCTGTGTGCAGCCGCGAGGTTCAATGAAAGTCAAACAATCAGCGTCTTTATATGTGGGATTCGCCACTCGCGAAATATGGCCAGCAGCTAGGAGTACACAGCAAGCCTGTGTGTGTGTGTGTTTGCTTGCTTGCATGTCGGCCAAGGAAACTCAAACAAGGGGCCATCATTTTGACAAATTAAACAATTACGCGCGGCTGTAAAACGGTCGGTGCGCTCAGCCCCTGGGAAAAAGCGGCGTCGACCGCGACTAATTGCAGTGGGCGAGCGTACAATGGAAAATTAGTTTTGATCGCTTTCGAAAAAGTTCAGGAAGGTAAAAAAATTGTTTGTTTTCCAGATGCTGTCAAGTAATTACTCTTTTAAACATCAAATAGTTAATACACAATTAAAAAAACCATATTTTTAATAAAAAAGATTATTTATCATATTTTGTTTAAATTGATATTTATTGTATTTAATTACTGAGTTATGTACCAAAACATAATTTAAAAAACAATATTATTTATTTAATTTAAATATTATTTTTTTTCTGCCACACTTATTGAAATTTAAAAGAAATAAATTATTAATTTGTTGAACCACATATAATATAAGATATGTGTTGATAAAATAAATATTAATGTGGCAAATTATAGCATTAGCTATTCATACTATACTGTAAATTTGTTCCTTAAGAATTTATCACAAATTTAATCTTACGTTTTATTAACGGATTTGTAAGTGGAGATTCTTCAACTATGCGAATAAACTTTTCAATTCATTCCTGGCTGGAACAAATTGAACAAAAATACCAATGCCTTCACATCATACTCGAAATTTGCATGCAGTTGTAAACAATGCAAAGACCCATGTTCTCAATTCTCTAACAATAAGTCAAAAATCGTCTTAGAACTCTTCAACTAAAAGCGCACAACATAAAACATTGTTTAAAATAAATCTTTTTATTGCAATCTGCTTCCATTGTTCGTTGCTGCGAGTGACTGTTAACGTCTCTTTGAATCGTTCATATAACAGTGCTGGTACATGCACCGACCATCAACAAAGATGTTCCTAAATACCAAGCCGATCAACAACAATATGTGAGTTTCATACTCATTTGATTTGTATACTCGAGTGGAAAAAACGATTACACTTCGATTGTTCACGATGGCTGCTTCGACCAATCGTTTTCATACATAAATACTGGCGGCGAAAAAAAAAACAGTTTGACCTTCCGCCATCAGTGATTAACAACCGCCGGTGCGTTTTCACAATAATTCGCAATAAATTTCCCTGTCAAGTATGGCGAGGCGCGCGAGCTAATGATTGCGGAGAAGAATTTGAGGGCAAAAAGGCGATGCGAGAAAAAATAATTGCGGTCCAGAAGGTCAGTCGGTTGCGCGCTTTTAATTCTCACGTGTGTGTGTGTTTCGCGGCGGAAATGCCTCCGATCATGCTTGCCAGCGTGGTGCATGAAAGGCGGAGATGGATCGGAGCTCCGCGAGAATCCATCACGTCCTCTTTCGTTGGCGAACGGACGAGATGACATCTACACAGACCTGCTGTATACGTTGAAATCAAAAAGTCACCTCGACGCAGCGACGACTAAGGTAAATAATCAGCCCGCAAAGAGAGAGAGAGAAAAAAAAGAAGAGCTCCGCAATCTCCGCGCCGCCACCAGGAGAGAAAAAGAGAAAAGTTCATACCTCTTCTCTGCGGGATGATGTCATAGTCTGTGC